GCTCATCAGCTGGTTCACCTCAGAACCAAATTCATCAGGAAGTTCATTGAAGACGTCTCGGCAAAACCCAGAAATCATGGCTGCCATTGCTTTTTCATAGTCAATTCCCCTTTGCTGAAAGTAAAACAGCTGATCTTCACCAATCTTGGAGGTGCTGGCTTCATGTTCAACACGTGCAGTGGGATTTTTTACCTGTTAAACAATAGAGATCAGGCTATTTTTAAGTAGCAATATAGAATGGCATGAAAAGTAACAATTTCTAGAAATAGCATGTCGAGGGGAGGAAACTACGTGGAAGATGTAACAGTACTGTTCAAGAAAAAAAAGCATATAACATGTTTGAAAGTATGCTGATTCCTGTTAAAATATAACTGTAACTGTCTCAAGCAAGTGAAGCCAATCTAAAATCAAGAGAGCTCTTATTCTTTTTTATTATTATTAAGAATCAAAGCTAAGGTAACAGATTTTAGGAGCTCCACACATGCAGGAGAATGGAAACCTCCAACATTTACATGTCGAATATTTGGGAACAAATGGGCTGTCCTGCTCCATTTCCCAAAGGAATGTTTCCACTTTCACAGCCTTGTGGATGGACTATTAACAAAAAGGGCAGCAGGCTTCCATCTCAGTTGCCATGGCTTTGAGATGTATTATATAAAATGACAGGAGCAACAACAGTATATTAACAAAGCACTAGGCTGCCCCTTTCTCTAATGATAAAGTCATGAAGCTGGCTGCTCCACCATGGATATGAGACCAGCCCCAGGATCATCCCCTTCAGTCTATGGTGAACTCAGCCCCAATGGCAGATTTTTCAAGTAGCCCATCCCACTGTGCTTAAGGCTTATCTGGGTTGTCAGCAGGATAGAAGAGAATTAAATGATCTTTTTCAAATAGGAAGGGAAAAATCCCCATAATGCAATAGTTACAAACATATTCTACCTGAATCAAAGAGAAACATGTGATGGCATCACTGCATGCAAATTCATGAAAAACTTACGGAGTAAATAAATATCTAGACACCAAGTTAATAGTGCTGGTTTGTATTAGAAAAGTATATTTACACAACCTCAGCTCTGTTACAAAAGATGATGGTTAAGAGCAACAAAAGAAATACATGATCTCTTAGCAAAACAATGAACATACACTACATTGTTGTTTGGAAGACTCCAATAGAATAGTCAATATCCAATAGAAACTGATATACCATATATGATCTAATTTCCCATCAAACTTTTTGAAACTTATTTAAAAAAAAAAAGAAGAAGAGATTTCCACCGTGTGCTATAATTATCCATAGAAAACAGCTTTCTTGGTTTTATGGATGTTTCATGTTTGGGGACAGTTCATCCATTTGCCATGCATCCAATTAATGCAACTCCAATTTTCTGAACCAAGTATGATAATTATCCACAAAGAATCACAGTTAGCATGCACCACAAAGGATGGCACAAGAAAAGGAGTAAGAGAATCCAGAGACGGTGAGAATATGAATGCATAGCGGCAAAAGAAGATGAGAAATTGGAGCATGCTCCTAATAATGTTCACTGGGGGTATCTTACTGCCAATCCAGACCAACTGAACTGGTTAACTGCTATGCTAACAGAAATCTCAGTGACTAATTTACCATCCATGATGTTTCCCTTAATTTTGTCCTATGCACCCCACAAGCTCACCTTAGTTGTGGGGTAACTTGAACCTGCAAATGATATCATGTTGTAATTTGCACTACATTTCATATCATCAACAAGGAGCTACCCTTTCCATATGAGCAGCTTATGACAGGAATAATCAGAAGACAGGATTCAACTTACAAAAGGCAATGCATATTAGTCAAGACATCATGAATCTCTTGCTTTTTAACCACCAAGTTGGTATTTGTACTATGTTTCTTGTTATCAACAAGGACTAACCCTTGATGTATGAGCAGCTTATTTCAATAACAGAATCAGACAACAGGATTCAGCTATGCCATACCAACAGAAAGTAACGCTCAGCCATAGCCATCACAATATGGCTGTCTTTGCATCAACTGATATTTAATGCCATTTAGAACATAAACCTTGAGAAATATTCAGGGAGAGGGCAAAACAAAAAAGCCAGCTCATACATGAATAGTCAACAAAAAAGTTTTAACATGCCTGGAAAAAAAAACACTTAGCAGATTAAAGAAAGTTACCTGGATATAAGGATAGGTATTGGCAGCTGCAGTGTCACCAATAAGCATTGAGTCACATTGTGAGGAGTTCCGAGCATTGTCTGCCTTGGATTGAACCTGAACCAGCCCTCTATAACAGTTTCTAGAATGTCCAACTGAAATACCCTTTGAAATAATTCGACTTCTAGTATTTTTACCCTTATGGATCATCTTCGTTCCTGTATCTGCCTGCTGATAATTATTTGTCAACGCAACAGAATAGAACTCTCCCACGGTATCATCCCCCTCCAAAACAACACTAGGGTACTTCCAGGTAATGGCAGACCCTGTCTCCACTTGAGTCCAAGATATCTTAGACCTATCCCCAGCACAAAGTCCTCTCTTTGTAACAAAATTATAAATCCCCCCTTTTCCTTGCTCATCACCAGCATACCAATTCTGCACCGTGGAGTATTTAATCTCCGCACCCTCAGCACAATACAGCTCAACAACAGCAGCATGAAGCTGATTCCTATCATAAGAAGGTGCAGTACAGCCCTCCAAATACTCCACAAAACTCCTATCATCAGCAACAATCAAAGTTCTCTCAAACTGTCCAGTCTCCATCGCGTTAATCCTAAAATAAGTCGATATCTGCATGGGACACTTGGTATCTTTCGGTACATAGCAGAATGATCCATCACTAAACACAGCAGAATTCAAAGCAGCATAATAATTATCCTCACTAGGCACAACTCTACCCAAATACTTCCTAACCAAATCAGGATACTTCTGTATTGCCTCTGAAATCGAACAAAATATAACACCAGCCTTCTCTAGAGTCTTCCTATGAGTAGTAGCTATAGAAACACTATCAAGAACAGCATCAACAGCAACATTCGCCAATCTATTCCTTTCAGTTAAAGGAATCCCCAATCTATCAAAATATTTAATAAGTTCCGGGTCAGCTTCCTCTAAACTATTCACAGTAGGTTTCTTCTTAGGAGCAGAATAATAACAAATATCTTGAAAATCAATAATAGGGTATTCATTATCAGACCATTTAGGTTCTTTCAATTTCAAGAATCTCTCAAAAGCATTCAACCTAAAATCAAGCATCCAATCAGGTTCTTCTTTAAGTGAAGAAATTAGCCTTATTGTTTCTTTCGAAAGACCTTTAGGAATTGCAAAGGAATCAATATCCATATTGAATCCAAACTTCTCGTTGTAATCACGATTCCTTAAAATCTCTCTAATCTTATCATCAGAGCTAGTAGAAGAAGTACCGGTTGCTGCTGAGTTACCTGGAACGCTCTTGACTGTCTTAGATTCAAACCCAACATCAGCACGGATCTTGAAAAGATTCAGTTTTGAAGGCTTAAAAAAGATGGGTTTTATCTGAAAGAAAAAGGGTTTGTTCAATTTTGATGAATCTTTAATGGGTTTTGGAGAAAAGTGAGGGATGGTGTTTGATAGCAAGGAAGCCATGGTTATGGTTTGTGGTTCAGACAAGAGGAGGAGAGCAAAGAAAGGTAAGTACTTGGAAAGAGAAGAAGTTTGTGGTAGATTCCTTTGTTCTGTCAGCCATAAGTTTTGAGGATTGACTCGTGTCTCACACACGTACCCTTTGAACTGGCCAAAGGCCAAGGCTGTTCTGTTTGTGACAATTTTGTTATAACTTTTATGGGTAGATTTTGAGTAATACATCTCAGTTATTAATCCGGTCTAATTTTATGGATTTATAAAATGATTTGTTGATTTAAATCCTGTTTTATATCAAGTTATTTTAATTCAAGGTGGGTGTTCAGCCTATCAAACTCATGTCACTTTATAGATTAAATTTAATTAACATGACAAAAACTTGGTTAATTCAATTAAGCTTTTTTTTTTTTTTTTGAATTCATTTTTTTTTAATTTTAATTTCATTATTTTTTTCAAAACCTCATCCTCGAATTTTTTTTTTTTTTTTTTATTTAATTTTTTTTTTTTTTTTTGAATTCGTTTTTTTTTTTTTTTTTATTTCCTTTTTTTTTTTTTATTTCCTTTTTTTTTTTTTATTTCCTTTTTTTTTTTTTATTTCCTTTTTTTTTTTTTATTTAATTTTTTTTTTTTTTTTTGAATTAATTTTTTTTTATTTTAATTTCATTATTTTTTTCAAAACCTCATCCTCGAATTTTTTTTATCAGTTGATTAGATTTTTTTTATCAGTTAATTAAATTGTTTTTAAGCTGATTAAATTAATTTTCATTATTTTTTTCAAAACCTCATCCTCAAATTTTTTTTATCCGTTGATTAGATTTTTTTTATCAGTTGATTAAATTATTTTTAAATTGATTAAGTTAATTAAATTATATTAAAATAACTTTTATATAATTTAATTTTAAATTGTAAAAAGTTGAGTCAATATATTTTTTTTATTATTGATTATTATTTTTTTCTCAATAACTTTTATATAATTTAATTTTAAATTGTAGAAAGTTGAGTCAATATATTTTTTTTTATTGTTGATTATTATTTTTTTCTTAAATTTATTTTCAAGATTTTAAGTTAAATTTTAAATTAAATTAAATTAAATAAAAAATAATTTGAATAAAACTTAACTTGATTTTTTAATTTTTATATAGAACAACATTATTTAACTATTTTTTAAAAATATATTTTTAAATTCATTCACTCGTTTCATCTAATTCGTGACTCTTTAAACTGAGTTAGGTTTAATGATTTTTCAGAGAAAAATATATTTGATTTTTTTATTATTTATTTTTTCAAGGTTTTTATCTAAATGGGCCAATATCCACAACATCTACAATCGGTCTAATATGAGGCAACATATTTAAAAGCCCACTAAAGAATCCAAAACTAACAATACAGCACAAACTCCACACTTGACCTCCAGCACTATTTGCCCTGTGGTTATGTATATTTTCTCAGAAACCAAACGAGAAAATTGGAACACCCCATTAACAGATTCTTCTAGCTTGCTTGATTGGTCTTTCAGACACCCTTTCGTTCTCTAGTGTTGATACGTAAGTTTCTCTATCGTTTGCATTATGTTTTGGTTCTTGATTTTCTGTCATTGTTAGTGCAAGAGAGTGATCAATAATGTTAATGAGCCGTTAGAATTTTTTTTTAAGTGTTTTTATCTGAGATTTTGAAAGAGAACTTTTTGCATTTTATCAGGGAATATTATCGTGATGGTTGAGCTGTGATTTTTTTTCTTGATTTGATTATGATGGTTAATGCAAATCAAAGTGTGGGTTAGATTTTGGAAAAAAATTTGTATAAGAGAAAATCTATGACAAGGGTTTGCCTTATTTTGTTGTGATTATGTTTTAATGCCATCAAGTTTGTTTCTTGTTGGCTGTATGGGCGCTTTCAGCGATATATTTAAGTGAATTAGAGCTAAAATGGGACATCCTGTCGTTGAAGGTGGGCCCCAGATGATGTGCTATGCATGTATTTGATTACTATTGTTGGATTCTGGCCACTTTTTATGAATATGCTTTCTGCCTTCACAAGCTATTTAGGAAGTATTTAATAAATTATTGTTCCTGATTTTGATTTATTTAATGTTTTTTTTTTTTGTGATAAGAACACATCCATGTCTAGGTTTGTAGATCATGAGATATAAGCTTAGATGATAAAAACCTTTACTGATTTGAAAATGGATATCAAAATAGCAATGACAAAATGAGGAAGTTTTATCAATTCTTGTTAAGGTCATAACAAAACCTCAAGTGTGTTTTTTTAGTTTAGAACTTGTTACGTGTGAATTTTTCAATGGTAAAATCTTATGTTTATGGAAGGACATAAATGTGAATGCATGTGTGTGTTTACGTGGATTTGAACCCTAATCCTGCCAGGTATAGATCTTAGTGTGAAGTTGGCAAGATTAGTTATGGAGAATGAAAATGTCAAAGTTTTCTTTTTTCATTTTCATGGACTCAAGTAATATTACATCTAGAAGAGATTTTTGCTTCTACTTTGCTTCTATGCCTTTTGTGTCTTTCAAAGAGTAATTTATATAGCAAAAACATGGACTTGACTGGATTCTGTTCAGCATGGCTTCCATTAAAGAAAAAAGACAGAATCTTTTCAAACACAAGAGAAGAAAGTGGCTTAAGATCCATAAGCTGAAGCCTAGTCCAAGGAGAAGGCTTAATGCAATATATGCACTTGTAGGCTTCTGATATGTATTGTCTTGTACCATGCAGACCAGAGAATGTTCAAATGCTCTGGTGGATTGGTAGAACTTAATCGTTCCAGGTTATTGTTATGATGTTAACCCAACAGAACTATACCAGGAATAGTGTATCATCGATCAGTTTCTGTTTCTAATAGTCTTCTTGTTATTTTTACTCTTTAACTGATGGTTTATTGAGGAAAAGAATGGATACAAAGTTTATGATCTTGTTTGTAGGAGAAAATTTTGAAGACCTGTGTAAAATCAATCGACTTGTCAACTGCACAAGATGAACCCTCTGAGTCAGGGGACTAGCTCTTCTCCGGTGGATCCTCCTATGAAACGCAAACGTGGCCGTCCACGCAAGGATGAGAGTGCTGTGCTAGGTGAGAAAACACCAGTAATGCCTGAATCTGACAATATGAAGAAGAACAAACAGACTGGAGGACCAACTGATGCTTCTGGTGTTAACATGGTGGGTCGGGCGATTACTGGTGTTATTGATGGTTTATTTGACGCTGGATACCTTGTTAAAGTTAAGGTAGAAGACTCTGACATTCCTCTGAGGGGTCTTGTATTTCAACCTGGCCGATTCACTCCCATCACTGCTGAAAATGATGTGGCTCCACAAGCAAAAATGTACAGAAGAGCAGATATTCCCATCCCAGTTTTTCATCCTCCAACTCAGTTGCCTAGTTTTGTTACTCCACCAAAGCACAGTGATAAGCAACTGGTTGAGCTAAAAAAGCCCGCACCGACTGCTCAGGACAAAGGGCTCCAATCTGGGTTTCAACCAACTGCTCCAATTGCAAAGGAGAGCCTATCTGCTTCTCAGATGCTGCCTCGGACTGAATACTTGCAGGGTACCACAGGACCTTTGTTTGGAGGAAATGTAATGCCGCCTCAAGTTTTGGGTTCAGGACATGAGAATCAATCTGTCTCTGTTACGGCAGAGATGGGGCACAATAAGATTGCCGGACAGCATGATTTGCTGCAGGAATTCGAAGCCTCACTAAGAAAAGGACCTAATTTAAATGTAAAGGCTAATGAACAATTAAAATCGGTGTCTCTACCTTCACCCCCTGCTGATATTTTGCCAGTGAGTGAAACTCCAAAGCAGCCTTCTGGTGATGACCTTAAGCTGAATCAACCGGTCCATGATGGAGTGAAAGGCCCTTGTTCTTTAATGGAAAAACAGGCTTCTCCAAAAAATGCTGGTCCTTCAGAGCTTGCTACGAAAATGATCAGTGGAGATGATACATCCCATCTTAATCATAGTCCTATTCCTATAGGTCATGCTGCTAGTACTACTGAGGCAAACTCACTATTCTCACCAATTGCAAGCTTTCCATCACTGCTGTTCGGGAGAGAAGCTATTCCCCCATCACAGAAGCTTGCAGTTGAAGGATTCTCTCTTCAGAGAACCACTGAACCCCAGTCAGATGTTCCTTCTGGTGCTACAAATATTATGAAGGCGGGGGTAGACATTTCGGCAGCGACCAGCATACCTGCAACTCTATTTGGGAGAGAAGCTATACTGCCAGAATCCAAGGCTGCTGCTGATGAACCTGTTCTTCCTAGGATGACTGAACCCCAGCTCTGCAATTCTCCTGATGTTACTAATAATGTGGACAGTAATATCAAGGATGTCATCCCACCTGCCGAATCTTAGATTTATCTGGTGGTATCAAAACAACTCAGTGGTGTAGGGCATTTTCTTATGAAACAATAGGGCATAGGCAGGATAAAGCTGTGATAGATGGAACACATGATGTCAATGGTCGAGGAATAAATAGGCATAGTCAATACTGGTCGACATTGCCATCGTTTAGAGTCCCAAGTAGATCCTTAAATACCAGTTCACAGGTCGGGCATGTATTTTCACTTCTAGATGGTTTACCTTTTGATTTGGGATCTCATTTTATATTTGTAGTAGAAATGGATGCAGACTTTGGTAATAATTTATTTGCAGCCTTTTGGACTCATTCAGTTGAAAGTAGTTTATCTTAGTTGTTAATTTTTTTGTCTTAGATGTGCTAGACGTTTTGCTTTTCAAGTCAGATGCCCTTAATGATGTTCCAAAACTCAAAGAAAGTTTCTAAATGCCCTATTTCTTTCCACATAAATTTATTTTATATTTTTATCTTTATTATTTAAATACTAATGCAGCTAGAAATTTTTTTGGATCCCTATAAACTTCACCTTTTATCTTTTTAACTAAATGTATTCTTATTTTTTTTATGCAAATAAATTCTCATTTTATTTCTCTAAAAAGTTTGAATCATATAGGAGTTTATATCATTAATATTTTTTTTAATAATTTAAATATTACAAACATTATTATTATCTTGAGCATTAAACTTGGACCAGTCTAGCAGGTCAACCTATAACCCAAACGAGACTCGATGATCTTTTTTTTTTTTTTAAATATGATTTCTATCCTTCAACCTTCCTTCTTACTTCATCATTTTCTCTACAATGAGTTGCTATTAGCAGCAACAAAGAGGAAAGGAAAGTACAGGACGCTGCTGTTGGAGGTTGGTTGAAGGAGAGAAAGCTGGGTCTCAAATTAGCAAAGATGGAAGAAGCTGAAAATGTTATTTGTTGGGCTGGTGTTCTGTGTCAGTAGACGCGCAGCTCTGGTTTGGCCAAGAGATGGAGGCAGTTGGGAAAGAAAAAGGAGAGGCTCTCTAATTTTGACAGAAAAATTTGGACAAGGTCTCTATGGCAGCTGCTTTGACCAAGCAAAAAAGAAAGTTTTAATTGGTTTTGGAAAAGAAAATCTAAAGTCAAGTAGAGCGATGATTGTTATTTTATTTAGTAGAGATAGGGAAAAGTTTATAGTTTTTGTATATTTTTCTTCCGGAAATATATTAAATTGTAATGCGGGGCATTTCCTGTAGCTTTTGGAGCCATTTTGCTAGGAAATATGAAAACATGTTTTACTAGAAAGAAAAGATAAATTATAAAATTGTGAGAATATTAATTTTATAAGTGTTAAAGCTGATGTCAACAACTTTTAAAAGAAAAAAAAAGGAGTGAATTTCTAGGTTAATCCGAGTTAATCTGGATTGACTCATAAAATTCGAAACCTGATCTTCTGATCAGATTAACCTCCAAACCGGGTTTAATAACCATGATCTTGAAAATAAATTAGTTTTAATTATCATATAATAATTTATAATTTTCTTCTTCTTTTATTTTTTTATAAAATCAAAACACATTAGAATAAAGATTAAAAAAAACAAATGGCTAAGAAGTAAAAACCAATTAATTAAATTATTTATGTATTAAAAAAACCAATGAACATTTAGGGTTTTAGCTAGGGATAATAATTTATTCTGAATCTATAGATACCGACCTAAATAAAAAGATATTTTTTAAATTTAATAGATAATAAATAAGATATAAATATTATTAAATCTATTGAGCCTAACTCAAAATATATATTTATATTATATAAATATATTTATAATATTAAGCATAACCCCCCCACTAATAACCATTTTGATTCTAGCATGGAGTGATAAGACAGTTGATTGAGATGTAATTATCTTTTTAGAAAAATAAAATTATAAAGAGTAATTCAATGAGTCTTGTTGAATCCAATTACTATATAATAAGAAAATCAATCCAGCAATCTATTCCCCTAAAATAGCTATGTAACAGCAATATTTATATTATATAAATATATTTATAATATTAAGCATAATCCACCCACTAATAACCATTTTGATTCTACAGCATGGAGTGATAAGACAATTGATTGAGATGTAATTGTCTTTTTAGAAAAATAAAATTATAAAGAGTAATTCAATGAGTCTTGTTGAATCCAATTACTATATAATAAGAAAATCAATCCAGCAATCTATTCCCCTAAAATAGCTATGTAACAGCACTAAGAAAGAAATTACAACCTTTATAAATTTATTACTTTTTTTTTTAACTTTTCTTCTAGGTTGTTAAGTCTATATATATATATATAAAGTAATCAATAATATATATATATATATATATATAAAGTAATCAATACTTTCTTCTCACACTTTGCACTTTGCATGAGAAGCTTTCTCACAAATATTTTTTTTTATTTTTTTAATATAGAATATATAATTTTTTTAATACAATATTATTTTAGTATTGATAAAACACACACATAATATTTATTATTTAATATACATATACATATTTCAAATATATATATTAACTATTTTATTTTTTATTGATTAAAGAATAATATTAGATCATAAATACTTATTGAATAAAAAAGTTGGTAAATAATTTATAAATATGTAATTTTTTTAATTAATAAATAATAAATAAAATATAAATATAAAAAATCGAAAGCACATCAAGTTAATAGGCTAGTTTGTTGAATCATCCCAAAAGGGCCAATACTATTCTAGCTTCGGCTACTGTAAAACCTCAAAATCTGCAAAGTTCCGTTTGTTTCTCGAGAAAGAGGGGGAAAAACCTATATACTCTATTCATTTGATATCAAAATTTCTAGTACTACTACTACTACAAATACAAGGTTGCAATAAACATGGACATAATATCTCAGTTACAGGAGCAAGTGAATCAAATAGCAGGGCTTACTTTCAACACTTTTGGTACTCTTCAAAGAGATGCACCATCAGCCAGACTCTCTCAAAACTACCCAGAACCTCCTCCAAATCCTACAGAAGATGCTGCCAGTTTCCCTGAGCAACCAAAACAGATGAGTGCTGCCCTTGTCAAAGCTGCTAAACAGGTAATTATTTCAAACAATCTAGCTCAAGAATTTAAACTTTATAGAGAAATCCAGAAACAAAGTTTGACTTTTTATGATTTTCTTGTCATTTTAGCATCTGGGTTTTGCTTAATTAGGGTTAATTCAGTGTTTTAAGCAGTGAATCTTTATTTTCTTTTCTGGGCTGGTGTAGCTTGACTAATCAGTGGGCGGTTTTTACGGTGCAAGATGCTTGGAGTTTTCTTTTCTTTCTTTTTAATTTTTCATGCTTGTAGTTTAGTGTGTGTAAGGACAACCTTTGATGCTAAATTATAGTCTTGATACTTGAACTTAGATTTTCTGTTCTAGGATTTGTTTTGAATCTGGATAGGAGTTGACGTTTGTCTCGTCTTGAGTGCTTTATTAAGTCCGGTAATCAAAACTGGGAAGTGGCTAAGATCTTATCGGTATTATTAGATTTTGCTTGATTCACCAGTAGAAGTTTGTTTAGAATGAACTTCGAAGCTTTTTGTGAAGTCTAGATTTTAGGACCGTTTGAAATTCTTTCTAGTGTTTGTTAGTGGAGATTTGTAGTGATAGGCCCCGTTCTTTTACTAAATTTAATGAAGATTCTTTTGTTTGTGGAGTGAACAACTCAAGTGCTAACGCTAAAGCTGCCTTGTCTGTGAATGCAAGAATCTAATAAAAATGTTGTGAGTGAAGTAAATTTATGATGCTTTGTTGCGTGTAGGGATTAAAGAGTTGAAAATTCCATCATATGTTAGAGAAATGTGGGGCTTCTTGAATAATCTACAATTTTCTTTAAAATGAGAGTTTGACCCTTGCTTTGTCATGTTAACAAAATTCATTTTTCAGTAGCATACTGAAAAACTGGTATGTTAGCATGATTTGTGTCAAAATGGCTGGAAGTTTTTTGGAAATCAGTATAGAAATCAGCACAAATGTCAGGGTTTTTTTTTGGCGATGCAAGGGAATTGGCTAGGTAATGAAAACAAGAATGTGTGAATCCAAAGCAGTTTGCTTTTTTGCTCCATGAGATTTTGATTTCAAGTGTCCAGCTGTTGGTTTTGTGTCCATCTCCTGTGTACACTTTAATAACTGAGTTGCACAGGATGGTGCAACTAATTCCTGGTTGTTCTTTGTACAGTTTGATGCATTGGTTGCAGCACTCCCTTTGTCTGAGGGAGGTGAGGAAGCCCAACTGAAAAGGATTGCAGAACTCCAGGTTTATTCCACAGAAACTTCACTGATTTACACTTTCTACATCTAGTATTTTAGAATTGATGAATGGTCTGTTAACTTGTCTGTGAATGCACAGGCTGAAAATGATGCTGTAGGCCAGGAACTTCAAAGGCAACTGGAGGCAGCGGGTAAATTCTTCAACTTCTCAGCTTGTTGTTTGATGTGCTGTATGTGCTCGGACACTAGTTACAATACTTGTCCTGCTTCAAAATGAATATTATAATTAGTGGGCAGTTTGAGCAATGGCACCTCCCCTGCAAAGCAACAGCAGCGCATAGAATTCAGATCCTGAATTCTGAATCCTTCCCCTTGCTTCCCTAAGACCCATAAAGGGAGGATATAACATTCTTAATGCCATTCCTGTAGAAAAAACGAATTTAGCAGTTTGGAAAGTGATAACATGAAATGAAAAGGATATAGCAAGTTTTGGAATCATGGTCACCATCTCAATGTGATTTGTTTTTAACTGTTCTTAGATTTAAAATGGGTTACTTTGGATGATTTACATGCCCCTGACATATGTTTTCATCTTTTCTTTACTCGGTGGTTTGGGTGGTTGCAGAGAGGGAGCTAAAACTGGTGCAAGAGTTGTTCGGTCAAACTACAGATAATTGCTTGAACTTGAAGAAACCAGATTGAAGATAATTCCCCACACCTCTTAAATTTTTTAAGGATATTGCTAGAGTTACTCAAGGTATTTGGTTGACTGTTTCTACATATACTCAAAAGGCAGAAGCAGAATGCTGTATTAGTAATTATCTATTAGATCTAAAGTCATTTTCTTGGAATTCCTTTTTGTAGAACCAACACTCACTTGGAGAAGGGAATACCTAGCCTATGCTAATGTAGTTATTGTAGAACGAATTGCACCACCTGAGTTTAGTCTCGTTCTCTCTTTTTCAATAATTCAAAATAATTACATTGGTGAAAACTATTGTCGGGCATCCCTGAAAGAATACAAAATTGTTTTAGTACTAATGAATACCGAAATTAAGAGGGATGCAATAAGCATTAGCCCTACAATGGATTGCTGACATGTTGTGTCAAACTTTGTAATGGATTCAAGTGGATTCTTTAAGTAAGGGGAAACCAGCAACTCCAACAACCCACGGCAGCAACCAGCAACAATTCCACTCTCTGGACTGAAAATAATGATCATGCTTTCAGTCAAATACTGGAATTTTCGTCAATTTTCTTTTTTACCGCACTTGACCATGATTTCTTCTGTGGACTTTGAAAAGCCTCTACATTTCCAAAAAAACAAAAATCTAACAAAATGAACACCATTTACCAAAACAGGAGAAATGTTCCCATCATGCAGTTGATTATCAAGAGCACGCTAGGCCCTCGGGTACCCTGTACCACCAACAAGCAGTATTCGGCCAAGTCCGGCTCTTCATCCCCAAGTTGAACTAGTCCCCACCCATAAATGTTCAAAATATTCACATCAAAAAATGAAACACAGAATAATAATAGCATAGCTCTCTGAACAAATCTTAAACAAGTAAGCTAATAGTTTTACAATTTTTTTAAAAATGGAGGTTTGTACTTGCAACAAGAGAAGAACACGGCCTGAAATGGTTTTCCAAAAAGCATACAAGATGAGAAGGGAAAAGCACCATCTTTCTACTAATAAACTACAAGGATAGGCGATGACATGCCAAAACTTCTCAGCTATATCCTACTTGCTGCTGCTGGCCCTGCTGATAGTTCCCATAGCCAGGATAACCTCCGTAGTACAAGTTGGGGTCCTGAGTAGCTGGAGCATAGCCATAATTTTCATATCCTTGTTGTCCATATCCATAGTATCCACCACCATACTGGTTTGCATCTGGCTGAGCCTGCAAATGAGGAGACACACCAGACACATGTATCAGGTTCATGAGCACATGCGAATCTCTCTAGAGAAATTTAAGTAGGTGTCAGCTAATGTAAAAAAACCTGTTTATTTGAAGGATTACGGCCCCATGACAATCGAATATTCTGTCCATTCAACTGAGCTCCATTTAACATTTTCAGTGCTTCTTCAGCAGAGCTCCTGATACAATGCCCAAATGCAGGTTAAAAAGTTAATTTTCCTCAAGAGCTGTCATCAGCAGCAGATGCTCAAGCAAATTTCCTTACCTGTCAGCAAACTGAACAAACCCACATCTCTTGCCTGCAGGTATCTTCACATGCAATAATTGTCCATATTGGCCAAAGAGTTCTTTCAAATGATCATCCATAACATTAGAATCCAAATTACCAACAAATATCTGTATAAATTTGTCCGTGTCAGAATCATGTTGGGAAAAGTAATTTCTACAAAAAAAAAAAAAAGAACAAAGTACCCACAGTTGTATTATTAGGGTCGCCATCGTTCTGAGGCTGAGGATTCTCATATGAAGCTGCATATGAAAATAAAGATGAAACAAACAAGAACTAAAAAATGACAGGCAAGACAGCCTCCAGAGATAATGGTCCCCCATAGTAAAAAAGCTGTTCAAGAAACACAGATGGACATCTCAATTCATAAAACAATTTATCATGAAGAAGACCACATCATTAGTTCAAATACACAAGTGTGAATAAATTCAACTCAACACTAATATCCAAATAATTCTTCAGAAGTATCAAATCAATTCCCATCATTTAGCTTGCATGCAGCACAAGTTCCTTCTTGATCTCTTGTTTCTTGCATTAAGTGTTTTGCTCACAAACAAAAGGAAACAATTAAATGAAAGTAGAGCTTAACATTCAAATTTTTATTTGCCCGATCAATATGTGGCAAAAAAATGTAGTATTTGCACCTAATCTCCAATCATTCACTTCATCAAATTCTGGGGAGTAAATAACAGAAAATATTCTGATAATTAAGCTAAAACCATAAAGAACAGTTAAGAAGCATTTCGGATATCATGAAGCAGCATAGCATTATTCTCTTAAGAAAAAGGTTTACATCAAGAACGTTATAACCTTTTCACAAAAAAAGGGAAAAAAACATGGCAAAATTCAGGCTACCAACTTATTCACATTGGAAGTTACACCAAAATGTTAATTTGAAAGTCAAGCCCAAGTAAATCATCAATTTGAAATAATGCAATATGAAGGAGCATGGCATGCCAATCTGACAAACAGTCAAACCAGAAAGCAACAAAACCGCACAAGTGCAAGACAATAAGCAATTCAGCATCTGCTCCAGTGAAACTAACAAACTACACGAATTCGAACAAACTGTTCACCTGATTTATCTGGCTTCTGGAACTAGTGATCATTTAATACTTTAAGAATGATAATGGTAGGACAAAAATAAACTCCCCAGAATTTATGGCAAAAAGTGTGAAGACTTTGGTTTTGTCAAAGAACATATTGTCAGTGTTGGTGGTTTTATTAGGAACTATATGTCATATCAATGTTCTTTAAAAGAAAGATCTTTAAATGTCAAACAAAACTCATCATCCACTCCTATGGAGAAACAGGCAAATTAGCACCCAGAGCAACTAATGGCACAAAAAAATCCTGAAGGAGCAAAGATTAACAAAATCAAGCTTATGTATTAAGTAAGGACAAGAAGAGACAGCAGTCCCCATAAAACCTAGACACAAAATGATGGTGGAGTACGTGGCACCACTACTTTCAAGCAATAGAGTCACCACAGGCTACACAAATTAAACTGGTAGTGGCTGGGAAATCTCAACTCACAAAAAATGCAAAGAAATTTAGAAATATTAATTAGAGTAATTCATTAAGGAACAATGAAGGAATATCTAATGAATGTATAATTAAGTAAGAACAAGAAGAGACAGCAGTCCCAATAAGCAGTCCCAATAAAACCTAGACACAAAATGATGATGGTGTACGTGGCAACACTAGTTTCAAGCAATAGAGTCACCACAGGCTACACAAAGTAAACTGGTAGTGGCTGGGAAATCTAAACTCACAAAAAATGCAAAGAAATTTAGAATTATTGGAACAATGAAGGAATATCAAATGAATGTATAATTAACTAGGAAACAAGCATTTTTTTCCCTAATGACCAAAAAAATGAAGAACACTAGACCCTCCCTATCTGATGGTAAAATGACACGATACTGAGCTGATAAATCTTTAGGTAACCAAAGTAGTAAGAAATATAACTTGACAGAAAGCTCAACTAATTGAACGAACTGAAAAGAAGCTTGAAACGTAGCATTGCAGATGCTACATAAAAGCTCAAATAACAGGCAGGACAAAAACTTAAAACTGACCTAAGTGAGGCCACGCACTAAAGGGTAACCAATTCAGCTGAAATCAGTTCCAGGCCCTTAGATGATAGAGCCTCTTGATGCCCTGCTCTGAGACAACAGGAATTCTATAAGTTTTTGCATGTTTCAAGATTTTTAATAGAATTTACTGTGCCCATGTGTTAAAGGAAACAATGGAAGAAATGACTTTGGAAACTGCTGCCTATCTTCAAAGAATAGCTGGAAGAAGCAAACTAACCAAAAAGGTTAAGCATACTCAGAGCATAACAACAACTGGAAATTCAGACAATCACCCTACCAATCTAAATGGGGCAAATCCATGATTACAAACACATTGAAAAAAAAAAAACAATAACATGTTTAAAGAATTGGCATTCAGCTAGAGCAACGACAACTAAGAAACATACCTTTTGGATATTGCTGACCAACCACAGCCTTCTTGTTTGAAGCAAGCCCTACTCGCATAGGCCTTGTTGAACAAAATGCCCCATTCATCTCGGTCATAGCACGTAGCTGTTCGCTTTCATCTCCAAAACGAACAAATCCATAACCCTTTGTCCGTCCAGTGAGCCTATCAATCACCACCTTTGCACCCTTCACTGAGGGAAAGTGGGCCCTGAATGTCTCTTGGAGCATGAAATCTGTAACATCAGCAGCCAAATCTCCCACAAATATAGTGAAGTCAGGAGAATCATCACGCTTATCACCCCCACTAAAAGAAGCCCAGTTCAGCCTAAAGTTCTGCTCGCCATTTGGCATTGGGGTACCATTATAAGTCTGCAATATCCTTTCTGCAGCCCCATGACTGGTCAACTCAATAAATCCATAACCTTCTATTTGAGAAGTTTGCTTATTACGAATGATTTTCACAGAAGCAACCTGCAACAAAAACATATTCTCAGTAAAGTAAACACTAGATAAGGATCCTCCCCTCTCTAATTCACATGTTCACAGCATGCGTGTAAACATGTCTGTAATGTTTAAAGTATGAAAAAAGTCTGAACTATATTGTTAGATTTGGCATGTAATCACAAACTTTTTGTTGCCTCTGTAAACAGACAGAAAATCAATTTTACATGAACACAGATGATGAAGACATTTGATCCATGTGATTATGCATTAAATACTAAACTTTTCATGATTTTATACTTCCCCTTCAAACAGCAAAAACTAAATGCAACATTACTACGATTCTGTTTCTCTCAAAATATAACAAGGAAAAATAAAAATCATATATTGGTAAGCAAACTAGCCAGGTTCAATCAACACACAAACCTCTTTGATACAAAAAAGAATCTCCAATTCATCTCTCCTTTATATAAACAAACCATAAAGCACCCCAGTAAACAAAACAGACTCATTCAAAAATTTCAAGAAAGAACAGAACAGAATCAGCACAGACTACAAAATCTTACAAACCAGAAAATCTTATAGTCACCATCTCCAAACCCATCCTCCTTCATTGAATACTGCTATTAAGCTTCATACTAAGTTATCCCACCTAAATTTACCACCCACCCACCCACTAGATAAATCTTCATATACTATACAAATAACAGTCATAACTTCAAAAAAGAAAAATAATCCAAGAAAAAAAAACAGCAAACCCTCAGAATCAAAAAGATCAAATCTTTACACATAAAACACAAACTTTACACAAAATAAAAACTGGATTTTTCTTTTTTACCTCTCCAGTATGAGCAAAACAGCTAGCAATATAGTTCTCATCCATCCAGTACTGTAAGTCACCAATCCAAAGAGTCCTGACCTCATCAGCAGTAGCAGGAGGTTGTCCCTGTCCCTGTTGTTGCTGTGGTGGTGGAATAGAAGCCTGATGGGCCTGATGCTGAGCCCACATGTGTGGTGGTGGAGGTTGGGTTTGAGCCATTGGTGGTGGCGGCATCATCATCATGTAAGGAGGTTGCTGGTATTGCTGTGGTGGTGGTGGTTGTTGTGGTAGCATGGCTCCTCCTGGTCCTGGTTGCTGCATCATTGTGCGTGTGGCTGTTGGGTTTCTTGATGGGAGAGTGAGAGAGAGACAGAGAGAGAGAGAGAGAGAGGGAAACCCTAGCAAGTGGGTTTCAGGCTCGAGGGAAAGACAGACGAAAGATTAGGGCAGAGGGTGTCTTTTAAGGACACCTAGCGTGGAGCGTGGCAGATTCCTCCCAGGTTTTCCCTTTATAGTAAGGTTAAAAAAGGAGTTAAACTATGGTTATTTGTTTTTTTTCTCCCGTATAACTCTGATTTAAAAATATTTTCTCATAATTATAGAGAATTTATTTTAAAAAAAACATAACGATGTGTTTTTATTTTAAAATATAAAAACTCATTTTAATATTATATTAAAAATAAATTATTATTACTCATTTTAATATTATATTAAAAATAAAATTTATTTTATTTTTTTAACTAGGACAAGTTTCTTTTTTTTTCCGAGTGAGATCTATTGTTTTTTGAAATTGTTTAATTTAAAAAAAATATTTATTTTAAAAATTAATATATATAAAGATCGGATTTTTATTCACACTAAAAATCAATTTGGTATAATTTTTGACATTTTTATTTATTATGGAACATAGTCGTTTTATTAAATGCAAGATAATTGTTATTTTCAAATCTCAATAACTATAAAAATTATAATTTACTAATTAAGAAAAATCAAACAAAACAATCTTTAATTTTTATGGACAAACACGAGTCTTTTTGTAATTGATAGTCACTCAGTTCACTATTTACTTGCACTCGAGTAGGAGGATTCGAATTCCTTTTTCACACGAAAAATCGGAAAAGAAAAATAATTTATTCAGATTAATGATAATTTTCGTGGATCGAGTGGATATTTTCCAGAACTTGTTGCGGTCACTGTCTCCCATCCTCCTGGTCAGGCATATGATGAAAGGGCTAGCTCGACACCCACCAAGCATGCTGAGCCACCCAGGGAGGAGATCTTTGGTGATGTAATAAGAGTAAATTCAAATGGCATCCTGAGAGGTATTGTGCAACGTGCGAGAAAGAAGTTCTTCGAGACCAGTCTCGATGTTGTGCGCAGTACTGTTGCTCTGTGGTCTGCTGCAGTTCTCTTTGACAGAAGCAGCTCAACATCATGCTTTAAAAAGCACTGCAGCAAGCTGTAGGCGTAGGTTTGCTTTCAATTGTTACAAGTTCGAGTTCTCTCGGCACTAATGAAAGCTTATATAATTAATAATTTTAGAATTTATAGGATTAATTGAGGCGCATTAAACTGGCTGAATACCCATATTAATAAATTAAAAAAAACTGCAGCAAAAGCATCATCTCCGGTGATTGTGCTGGCGAGTTGGTAGTGCAACCATAGCGCGTCACGTTGCAAACGGGCACGAAATAAACAGGATATGCGACGCAGAGTTGCGGTATAGTAAACTTTGTTCAAGCACTTGAAGATCTTCGTGACTGGACCATTATTTGTGGACATGGTAGGTTTCACCAGAGCATTCCAAAACGGTGGATCCGGAATGGGCCAACCCTACTTGAGCTCCTTATCAAGTTGTCAAATCTCGACAAGAATCTCTCTTAACTGGTGCAAGACACAGCTCTATTTTGCTGTTCTTGTAAAAAGAAATACATGTAACCAACTTGTCAAGAAATGTCCAGTTCTGTTCATGTTCATCGAGGGTAAAGGAGCTGCAAAAACTATAATTAGTGGATAGTTTTGTCTGATAGCACGAGTCTATGCAACGAGCACCGTAAATTTTGACCATCCGCCTCTTCTTCTATAGAAGGAAAACAAACCCTACTGCAAAGTTCAGAGAGCCAATCAACTTGCAAAACCTAACCTCACAATCACAGCACGGCAGCAACCTGACCACTTGCTCTATAAAAAGGCTAAACACCTGATCCTTTCTCTTATAAAGACGCGTAACTATCAATATTATGCCCCCAAAGAGGTCTGATGGAGGTGTCCATGTATACCATCAACCTTCACCATGGTACTATCTCCCCAATGAGTGTTCAAGATCAAATATAATGAAGATGGTGGTATACGGAAGCATAAAACTAGTACTGTTGCAGAAGACTATTCACAGCAGCCTATAGTTGATTTTTTAAAGATTTTTGCACCTGAAATCAAAATTGTCCTTGCTTTGGTTGCGCTATTAGTTTTTCAACTTGATGTTAAGTCAGCATTCCTTGATAGAGAATTGGATGAAGTTTATGTTGAGAAGCCTCCAAGATATGAATTAAAAGGAAAAAAAGATAAAATTTATTGACTTTATAAAGCTCTTTATGGATTAAAACAGGCACCAAGGAACATGGAACATCAAAATAAATCTTTATTTCCATCAAAATAGATTTGAAAAAAATCAATATGAACCATTACTCTATACTCTATATGAAGAAAAAGAGAGAAGATTTTCTAATGGCCTGTCTTTATGTTAATGATCTAATATATGCAAGAACAAACAAAGATATGGTTGCAGAATTCAAGAATACTAGGATGAAAGAATATGAAATGTCAGATCTTGGATTGATGAGATATTTTCTTGGCATTGAAGTGAAGCAATCTCTAGGAGATACTTTCATTTCTCAAGGAAAGTATATTGCAGATTTTCTTAAGAAATTCAAAATGTCAGAATGTAAAGCAGCAGGTACTCCTGTGACAGTAAATGAGAAGTTGCAGTAGAATAACAGTGCTGTTAAGATGGATTCAAAGATGTCTTGAAGTCTTGTTGGTTTTTTTATTTATCTTACAAATACAGTGCTTCCAGTAAGTATAATTTCTAGATTTATAGAAGAACCAAGCACACTTCATCTTGCAGCAACAAAAAAGATCATGTGATATCTTCAGGGGACAAGGATCATGTACAATAAACAAGAAGATAATAGGCTAATTGGGTTTACAGACAATGATTGCGCTGGAAGCTACGATAATAAGAAGAGTATATCTATTTATATGAAATTCTTTAGCTTTGTTTTATGTTGAGGCAAAATACATTGTTGCAAATGAAACAATTTGTTGAACACTATGGTTGAGAGGAACCCTTTCTGATATGTAGCAAAATGTCCATGATCCTACTATTATGTTATGTGATAACATGTCAACATTTAAAGTGATTAAAAATCCAGTTTTTCATGCTAAATCAAAACATATAGAGTTAAGGCATTGTCTTATTGGAGACATGGTTAGCAAGGAGGAGATAAAAGACTAGAATTTATCTATATAAATTCCTCATCTTTCTTGTCCCTTTGAAGATTACATAATTTCATTGGTGTTGCTCAAATTGGCCAAGTGAATCGAAATTAAGCATCCAGCAAGCTAACTCATGACCAGGTTTCAATAAAACTACAAGAAAAATTCACCTGGTATAATTCAATAAAAAATCCAACTTGATCTACAACCAATAAGCCTAGGAAAACTCTTCTTTTTTTTTGAAAATTTTGTCATTTTAACTTTCTTATAAATAAAATAAAAGAATTGAATTGATTTAGATAACTCAGGTCAATCCATTTTATCAGCGTTTCATGCCTGGTTTAAAAACTCGTTGATTTTTTGCCTAACCCTTGTGCGCTTAGCTTCATGATAAATTCTGATTAATTATAAAGAAACGTAGATAAGAAAGCATCTTATGAGATTTCTCCTAATATATGTCCCTGGCATAAATAAATCAGGATAATTAACATAGTTTTGCAATTTGTCTAGTGGTTTTTGATCCGTCGCAGCGTTTTCATGGCATCTACGAGGCACTTGCAGGAGTAGAACAGTGCTGTGTTCTAATTCCAACTTCACGTACACTGCCCTAGAAGTAGGGAGGGAGAAAAAAAACAAAGACAATTAGTGATCAAATATTCAGTACAGTTTATCAGTAAAGAAAATCAACTTCACTCAAATCTGCACACCTCTCAACACTCTTTACTTTTCTAAGAACCTTTGAAATTGAGACACAATGAGATCAGAAGATCTCCAAGCTCAAGCATGCAAAGATAAATTACAAGGCAATAGAAAGAACGCCTAAAAACATGGCCCTGGAACAGCTCCAGAATGTTGCATTTTCCATACCTTGAAGGGCAACTACAAGGGCCACTATAAATATTTACTAGAAATACAACAGGCATAAATTGTATCCGAGTTTGACTACCAAAGTTTGCTATTTATCAGTTTCAAAAGTTCGACAGCTTCCCGTAATCTTCTTTCCATGTTGTCCCTCACTGCCATGCTGCGAGGTTTCCTGCACAAAGATAGGTTGTATTGAACTTCGCTATCTTTCGCTTATTGTGATAACATGTTTTTTCTATAAAATTAACCAAAAACTAGGTTTTTATTCCTATAAAAATCATTGCAGTTTCAGTTACACTAATCTCAAGTATAATTGTAAGGGAATAGAGTTCTGAATGCCAGCAACTTACTTCTTCTCGAAGTTTGCCTTCCTTGTTAATTCTTCCACAAGACTGTGTAGCCTCTTTATAATGGGTGGTTTCCTCAGCACCATTTCAACGCCTTTTTGATGCGAACAGATCTTCTTCATAACATCAGAAGCAATGAAATATCCTTCCTCCTTGTTCCTGGACAACATTAGTTAGAAGACACTTTGTTCATACATAGCAAATAAAAACATACCATGGACTTCTAATCAGAACTTAACAAAATAACCTGAGCAACTGCCAAAGAATTGTTTCTACTACTCCTTGACTGTCAATAAGCACTTCAATCAAATGTGGATAATGGGCAAGATTCCGGAGAACTGAGAGTGCATGCTTTAAAACCTCCTGGTCAGGCATGCTTTGGCTGACTGAGCGAATCAGCTTCAGTAAGTTGTCAATTGCCCCAGCAGCCACAAGTTTCTCACAACATTTTTGAGAGTGTTCTGTAGTCATATCTGGCAAAAAAAAACTTGGAATAAATATACAAAATGATACCCTCTTTCAAGAAGTATATGGTTGACTCATTATTTCAACTAAAAAGAAAAATGGATATCTATGCTCACTCAATAAATTGAAGATTCAATAAAGATCATGAACTGCGTAAGATGGCATGGACATGCATTAGTTTTCATGCCAACACAAGCTAGTGAAAGCAAGTGTCTTTGCATCTTGTCCAATCATGTCATGATATTGTCAAACCAACCAGTACTTTCTTCAGGAAAGATGAGTGTTTTTTATGCAGGTTACAATAATTACACAGCCACCATTTGATTCCCATGCTACTTCCCAGTGAAGCATGGATTACATATCAAAACATTCAAATTTCTAAACGATCTGAGACATAAGAAAAATCTTACCCAAAGTTGCACAAGTGTGAAGAATTCCACTAACACTTTTCATGCTTGATAGTTCTGAAAGAGCCACTATGAGCCTGTTAATAATACGCATGCTGTCATCCACATTTTTAGCAGAATTTTGCATTCTCAGGCGCAAATCCAGGAGCTGCCCTCTAGCATTTTTACGTGCAAGGAAACCTTTCCAGTGCGACTGTTGAATTTACAAATGCCAGTTAGCCTAGAAATATGTACCTTTCCAGTGCAACTGTCGGATGTCAGTTAGCCTAGAAATATGTTCCAAGGAAAATATTGAACCATAAATGGGGCAGATAATATAAATGCCAACTCAGGAATATAATTGGGCTGACTAAAGAAGACCGATGCACAGAGAAAGGTGCCAAAGCTAAAACAATTCCAACTTACAAGGCTTCAGGGAAGCAACTAATTCACCTTTGATCCGGGAAAATATACACCCATGACAGAGAAAGTGGAGAGAAAGCAGTGTGTCAAATTTAAGTAAACGCCATGTGACCAAGACATGGATTCATAAAGAAAATTGTATTTATCCAAGTCATACATGAACGACTACTAAATTCAAGGGCAAAAAAGTTTTCAATTTTGTAATCACTTGGAAATATTTTAATCAGATATCCAGTTATAACGAACCAGATTTATTACATGGAAATGCAACATAGAAAAATAATAGCAGAGATCTATTAGTCTTACTTGAACCACGACAACGTGCTGCCTCTCTCTAGTTGCCTTTTTCCTGCCAATCCAACCTCGAACATGAGACTGTACGAGGATTGCTGATTTTGCTCTATGCTTCAGCAATAAAACACCTCTCCACCACCTTTGCAGCTTCAGAATAGAAGACATCACTATTTTCAATTCCAAACTCTGCAAGCAGACTCTTGAGGTTTGCATTTTGCAATAACTAGCAGTAGCTCTATGAAAGTGAGAAGCCCCTGCATCAGTCCGATGCCAGATATTCTTAAGATAACTAAACTCAAACCATATTTCAATAATGCAGAGAGCTTGTATGAAATAAAATGTGCTAGCAACTAAAGTTTAGAAGATATTTTCACAAACCTAATAGCCTATTTCGAGTAATCTCTCCTCTGACAAACCCCTGAATCTCTATAGTAGCTTGTTTACAGCAATGAAATGCCTTCCAGCAGTTCAAACATCGAACAGCACTTTGGATTTTTAACACCGCTTCTCTCTGGAACAAAAAGTTACTGTTTATTAGCCAAAAACAGCAGTGTCAAACGTAATCTACAAGCAGGCCAATTTCAGCTAAATTTACAGGCTCATTGACATCACGAGTGGCAAAGATTACATAACAGCCAACTGTATAAAGTGATTGGTCTGAGACAAAGGTCTACTGACACAATTGCCAGAGAATACCAAGACTTCGAAGAAAGAACTAAAAAAAAAAAAAACACAAACAAAATAAAGGACAAAAGAGAAACATAAGCATTTTGCAGTTAAGTTGGGAGTACACCATGTCTAGTTAGATAGGAACATGCAGAGGAAGTTTGTTTTCTATATGCATAGTTAAGGCAACCATGTAGAGGAAATTTTGTTTTAATCACACCAATATGTAACAACCAACAATTCAAGGGCAAGCAAATGGTATGAACTTACACTCAATCAGATATTCTGGTAAATGCGCAAGCCATTTCCTGTTAAAAATAAAAGCAGAACTCAAAAGAAGTCACAGTCTTACTTGGAGAGCAACACATTGCCTCTCTCTAGAGGCCATTTGCCTGCCAATCCAACCTCGAATGTGAGCTTGTATAACAATTGCAGACTTTGTTCTGAGTTTGAGAAATAGAATGCCTCTCCACCACCTTTGTAGCTTCAAAACTGAAGACATCAGTACTTTCAGTTTCAAGCTCTGAAAGCAGACTCCTGAGGTTAGAAAATTTCCGTAACTAGCAATGCCTCCAGAAAAGTGAGAAGCCCCTGTAACAATCAGATGCAAAATATATTGAAAGCTAAGCAAGCTAAACTTGATAAGCAATTCAGAAATGAACAGGCAGTTAATCAAAGAAAAGATGCAGGCATTTAAACTTTGGGAGAAGACTTTCACAAAATACCTAATAGCCTATTCCGAGTAGTATGTCCCCTGACAAACCGTTGAATTTCAATCGTAGCATCTTTGCAAGCCTTAAATGCTGTCCTGCAGTTTAAACATCGAATAGCACTTTGAATCTGTGTTGCTGCTTGTTTTTGGAACAAAAAGTCCCTCCTTATTAGCCAAGCCCGGCAGTATCTCTGGATTCATTTGAACATAATGGAACTTAAAATATATAAAAGAAATTTTTTTTTGTACTTCAGGTAAAATTTGTCTAGAGCATAAAGCAGTGATATTTCATGGAAAATGCTTTAAGGTTGGAGCTGTAGTGAAATCATCCCCAAAACACCCAGCCTTTCCAGGACCACAGTAAGCAAAGCAAATTCTACCCAATAGAAAAACTTCCATCTTGCTGAATTCAGATAGCACATAGAAGCAAGAAATGCACATGTAATGCCTTACAAGTTGCTATATACAAGTGAATTGCATTCAGACAAATGAACAAAATAAACAAACATTTATCTTGATGCAAGTAAGTGCTACAGGAATTCAACAATTATGAAAACCTTTGCCACTTCTGATAGGCAGCAGAATTAGTACTTAACCTAAGTGTTATCACCCACAGAGAGAACATTTACTCGTTAAAAAGAACAAAGAAACTGAGCATAATATTTATGCAAAATAAATACAACACTAAAACTAAATACCAAGAAACTCATTTTCACAATCTTCCCCTTCAACCCTCAAGTGGCATTTAAAGTAGTTATTTTGTCAGTAAAGTAAATGGACCAACACAAAAGCTAAGTCCTATAAGTTTAAGGATTCTACATGCATTATTTATCAATTCATAAATGCATGTAACTCATATTTTGATGCAAAAAAATGTGCATAAAGGCATACGATAGGCAGATAGCTTACTTGAAGCACACCAATGAGATACAGATATCTTCCCACTTTTCTCCTTACAATCCATCCACGGACACAAGACTGAATAACAATGGCTGACTTTTTAGCAATACTAAATTGTTGAAAAGCCCTCCGACATCGTAAGCATCTATAATTACTTTGAATTTTCATTATAGCTTGCTTCTGGATTAAAAATGTCCTTCTCAGCAGCCAACCTTGGAAATGACTTTGAATTTTAGTAGCAGCAAGCTGCTGTTCGTGGATGGACCTGGAAATTATAGTCTTTGAAGAAAGCTGAACTGTTAGACCATCAAATTGGCACGTGGATGAAGCCTTTTCCAATTGAACATCCTTATACCTAGACCTTGCTGCCCAACCACGAATGAATTTCTGAACAGCAATGGCAGCATTGACTATATCAAGAGTGGATACATCAAGATTACTAACACAATCACTTTTATGTCTTTGTCTGATCCAAATCCTCGTGGCTTTCTGAATAAGCGTAGCATCTCTTCGTAGCTTGACAAATCTATGCCGGTCAACAATGAACTTCACATATCTCCCTAGGTTTTCAGCCTGGCTCCACCTTTCTGCATGATTAACCAAACAAAAAGGTACGTGAGTAACTCAACAGAATGTGCAGGGATTCATACAAATGAACTGGTGAATAGAAGTAGGTACCACATCTAAAATCCTGAACCGTGACACTACTGAATTTTAAAAGGAATGGTCTCTTCTTCACCATTAACCAAGCCCGAATAGCAGTTTGCAAAAAGGAAGCCGCTCTTCTCATCTTCAAAAAGTTATGGCGTTCAACTGATCTCCTAAAGTGGGATTGTATTACTTTTGCAGCATTTTCTGAAACAGTATTGATTGTTAGTCAGAAAGAAGAAATTAGTAATCAAAGATTATGGTATAAGGCAAAGAAGTGATGCGCTACTTCTAATAGACTTAGATGATCAATCCATGAAAAGATGATTTCCATAAAAGGGAAAAATATACAACTATTTAAATTGTTGCCTCTAAAAACGGAAATTAACTGAACAGCATGGCAGTGCCTAACAAATTTGCAAACAAGAAAAAACTACAAACTTCAATAAAGATCATATCAAACAACTTAAACAGAACAATTATTGCAACTTGAAATATAGGTGCACTTTTCAATTGAAAAGAAAACTCAATGAGAATACCTCTTTGAATGATGATGCCCAGATTGCTAGTTGAGGTGCACTCCAAAACAGAAGTACCAGGCTGTGTGATGAATTTGTTGTTTCGTTCCGCCATATCTTGCCACCAAGCCTTAATAGCCCTAAACTTTCTAGCAGCATCTGCATAAACAAGTTCAAATAACAGATTAAAAAAGAAGAAGCTTTAAAACCAATATTCTTGTTTCCATTCCTACAACTGCATGTGAATGGTGCAAGCATTTTATCATTTTATTTTTTAAATCCTTTCTTTTAGTCTCATTCCAGGTAAATATATCTCATTCATCATAAGCCATACATATTGTTTTTATATATGAAACAAATTTAATGAAGGGTAATGCTCATCCCTATATTTCCCATTTGAAATGGGACCCAAGAGGCAAAAGTTGTATAAACCTTTGAAAACTTCGGTGCTTTTGAATTAAGTACACATTTGAAAACATTCAGTAATAAGAGGAAAAGGAAAGAGAACATTTACATAATGACAAGAAACACCAAAAAGAGATTTACTACTAAATTAAAGGTGGAAACCTTCTGTACTGGAGCCATCTATTATGTCTTGGTCCAGCTCTGCTTCTGAACTTAAAGAACACCTACCAACGCTTGAAGTTCTCCTCTCTTGACAATCACAACACAATAGTTTATGGAAATTCAGTTGATCCTATCAAACAGAAAAGAATTATTAAAATATATCCCAAGAGTGTTGCCTCAGTCATCATCCAGCAAAAGAATTCTAGCTTTACCATGGTTTTCTTTACAGTCAGTTGTGATGAGAGGAACACCAATAAAATTACCACACTTCGATGATTAATTGCGCCACTATGTTCAAGAATGTCACTGATATGAAGAACCTGTAAATACAATACATAAAGTCATAGACATAACTTCTGACAAAAGTTCAAACATGTATATCTCTAATCAAGAAACAAGGTCATATGTTGACACTAAGGCCAATTTCTCAGCCACTGAAAAGCTGATCTAATCAAATTTTCAGGTCATTTATAAAGTACAAAACTTTTTCTCAAGATGTCCTTTAAATATGCCTTGCCTTAAAAACCAACAACTTCAACACGTCCAAATGTTTTACTTATTGTTTCTCAAGTTGACATGCCTTAAAACATATAAATGGATTGTCAGCTGTTGGTTAAGCGTTATGCATGTAGACAGATAGTTTATGATCTTTACCTCAGGAAAATTCCACAGTAATGTTGTCAGCTTCTGTGACAATAAGAAATTGTGGACTGAATCTGTATAATCAATAGCTGACATAAGTGATTCTTCTCTTCTACTTTCACGAGGATCCTGTGAAAAAAGATGAAGTGAAAATAAACATGAGAAAGAAGGATTTGTTGAGCTTGAAAACCAGTAAAACTGCAAGACATGCCGTACCTTTGGAGAATGAGAACAAGAAAGTTCTTTACGGAAATAATAGTCAAGCAAACACCATATGGCTTTACCGTCAACCAATGAAGCAAAATTATCAATTTTATAATCATATTTTCCACAAACTGCCTGCAGAAACAATTTCAATGGCCATGAAGCAAGTAAAACTACCAAATGAGCATTACCAAGTCAGAAAAAAATTGATAAAATCTGCATGTTTCTGCTGGCAAAACAAAAAAAGAAAAGACCTGACATGATAAGTGATCTCAAGAAGAGAGAGGAGGAAGGTGGGGGGTTGGGGGGAGGAGATCCATGCATAGACGTAGTGGCGTATATTCTATATAGCAGCCATACCTGAATCCAACTCAAAAGCAACTCCAAAGGAGAGGAACCAGGACTGATGTTAGCGGAGTCCTATGCAATAGAAAACAATAAGAGCAACATAAATATACAGCGGCTCTGAAAATGACTTGAGAAAAAAGATGAAAAGAAATACAGAAAGCACAAGAATCTCAGCTACCTCTTTAAAGTTCAAAGCTAGAAAGAGAGTGACTTTATGTAACATTTAATAAGCAAGAGGAAACTGATCTGACTGAAGCATACCATGTTAACTCCATGAATTTTCAAAATTTCATTCGCTAAGGTTGTTTTGTTGAGCAGAAGAGGCAACTGTGGAATTTGATTACAAGTTATAACCAGTCAACAACCTTAATCACTCCTAATATATTGAATATTACAATTCCAAAATCAAAGACTTTGTGAAATAGGAAAAACCCAACAAACCTGCAAGTGAACAAACATGTTCCAGAGCAAAGAAACAGTTAGCTCCATATCTCCATTAGCAACATCGTCTTCCAAGATTGTCATTCCATCTTCATCTTGCAATGTTACACCAGCACGCTTTAGATATTGCAGGGCAAGGCCACAATTTGCTAAATTTCTCTTGCGGGTATCTGATGGAACTACCATTTTCTGCCACATAACAAGCCCTACTAAGTAAGACAAATAATGTTCAATAATTACAAAGAGTCATTTTCCTAAAGAACAAGAAAGAGGAAAAAAGGGCCAACCATAAGAATAGAGGAATCATTTTGTAAGAGCTGGATGGCTCTACAAAGCCTCACTCCATCTTGAAGCTCCGCAAATAAATCTGTCACTCTGAAGTCATACTCAACGAGGGAACACTGCCAAAAGAAATTTTTGTTGGTAAATTAACCAATTAAAAACATAACAGTGTTCATAAAATTGAACTTTGAGATGTCATTATCAATGCAGAGTGTCTAGCCCCTTTTTTAACTTTGAACAGAGATTTAAAATGATGATGATACAACACTAGCCTTTTTATCCTGAAAAAACACACATGCAAGTGCTAATAAACAAGTTATTACGAGGACTGAACTACATACCTGTTGATAAGATACTTTGTAACCTATGATAACTAGATGTGCAAGAAGATTCCCTTCTCCATGCATCACCTCCGATGATAAGAAATCTAGAGATAAAAGTCATTCTACAATGAATAGGATGTAGTTATAACTCAATCTGTAAACAACCAAAATAAAGAACTTCAAAAATTACCATTAATCATTTGACGGCTAGACTTTATACTAGACTGCACAACGAACAGAAGAGGTGAACCCCCATCTACTCCATCAATTCCATACTTTAAAGAAAGACCACTCTGCAATTTAGCTCTATCTAGAATAAGAACCAGCAGCAAAAACCTCTTCAATATAACATTTCCCAAGGACTCATAGTAACCTGGTCTATATAACCCTTCAACCTTCCTGTTATAAGCATAAGTTTTGGCTAGTCCAGTATGTGAAAGAAACTGTTTCTCTATCACCATCTTCAAGAATGATATTTCTTGATCAGAATCAATATCTCCACTGGGCAACAAGGAATCGCCACCAAGAATAATTTGTAATCCAATTCGAAGCCAAACTGGATTATAGCACATGAGAATTCGCATGGCTTTCTCCTTCATGCCAAAATCTGTTACAATAGGACAATGTGGCTTCATTTTCAACCTCCCTTCATCTATAGTCTGTAAAATGAATAAAAATATTCAATTCTCTGCATCGAAAACAACAGTTTCTTGACTAAAATCACAATAAAACACATCAGTTTGCCCAGGCAAGTCCAACAAAACAAAATATCTCCTTTCACTACCCCAACATTTTAAGTAAAATGGCACTAAATACATTAATTTTTACTAATCAAATTGAACAAAAGAAACCGATGCAACTACTTTCTTAAACCAAATCAGTAATAAAGCAAATAAATTTCCCAAAGCAATACCACCAAAACAGATTATTCAAAGCTATAGCAACTTCTTTAATTTTCCACTACCATGTCCAGTAACACACAATTCCTTCATATTAAATACTAACTTAAAATAAATGATTTTTCTTAATCAAGTTTTTGAAAAAATACAATTCCATTACCTTGCCAATTATTTTTCCTAACAAAAATTTCATTGAAACACATAATTTAACCAATATTTTCCCTTGTCAAATACAGCAAAACCCACAATTATCAAGCAACTAGTTATAACAATTCAACAACTAAAACGAGATTTAAACAAAACGCATAATCTTCCCCTAATCAACCATTAAAACCCACAATTATTCCGCAATCGAAATCCCAATTAAACAAACATAACTCCCTGAAATCAATCAAACAAACAAAACCCACAAAAAATTAAGAGAACCCCACAATTTTACAAACCTTAACAACAACAACCGTAGCATCAAAAACTTCCTTACAACATCCCAAACTCAAATAAACCCTCATTCTCTCCATCAAATCCTCCACACTACACACTTCCTTCAATCCCTCCTTCAATTTTCCATACCTCTTAAAATTCAACACGTCACCATCCCCACCAACCCCTCCTCCTTTCCACGTCACATCCCTACTCCTCTTCGGACTCCTCCACGTATCACCCACCCCGGCTGCTCCACCTTCCCTCTTCCCCAACCCCACCAGAACACTGGGCCCCGCCACCGCATTCTGGGTGAAATTACAAGAGCACCCACAAGCACTAGGGTTTTCGAACAGGAAATTAAGCCAAGTAGTGAGAGATTTCGACAGTGTTTTCAGCGCCTGTTCTTTCCTAATCTGTGCCTTTCTTGATGACTGTGACTGCTCGATCTCGAACGCCTTGAGCCTTCTCCGGGCCGTGGTTGAAGCAGGCTTGGGCCTGAACTGGCCTGATAAGGAAGGACGGTAGGAGGAGGAGGAAATTGGGGTTCGTTTTGAAGCAGTGAAGAATTGAGAGCTCGGAGAAGTAAATTTGGAGAGATTTGGAGGGCGTTTTGGGGTTTTGAAATTCGATACGTCCTTGAACGGCTGGGGATACGGTGACGGACATGGATATTGCTCGCTGCCTTCCATTGGCTGTGATTTCTTGAGAGAGAAAGAGAGCTTTTTTCTCGTAGTTAGAGAGAGAGATTTTGAGAGAGAAGTGAGAGGGGAGAGAGGGGTCTGGTTATGTGGGTTTTTGAATTTTGAAATGGGAGGGGAGGGAGGGGAGTTTACGAAAATGGGCTTGGAGAGGCGGGAGCGGAGGTTTGAGATTTGAACTTGAGTAGGGGTATTAAGGGAAGAAGAAATGTGGATCCAATGGGGACGTAAAGGGAAAAAGGGAAACCTAATGCTTAATGTTTACTCAATTTATCAATTGAGTACTAAACTTTTTTTATTTTTTCAATTTTGCTCCAATTTTAATCCATAGATGACAATGCTACTTCCCTATTCATATAAATTTAACGATAGTTAGAGATTAAGAAACCTTAAATTAGCCTCTAATGTAGAATTTCTGAATTGTCATCTAATGGATGGACGAAGGCTGAAATTGTTTCATATTAATCATATATAGGGTAAAATAGATGTGGGACAAAGTGGTATGAGCAAAATTATGATTATTGAGAAATTTAATAATGATTGAGAAATAACTAGTGTTATTCTATTATTATTTATTGAGATATGCTTTAAAGAAAAAAATAGATACAAGAAGAGAAGAAATTATAGGTGTATATATTCTTATCATTTTTATTTTCTCTTCTTTTCTCGTGTTGCTCTTTATTTTTAAAGTGAATCTTCAAGAATAACTAATATGATATTATTAGCTGTTATATATTCACAATAAATTTTTTAATGATTGTTAAGCATTTTCACCCAATATATTAAAATAAACCTAAAGTTGTTTTAAGAAACAATTTTAGAATCATATTTTGTCTCTCTCTCTCTCTAATTTTGTAGCTTACATTAATTGAAATTTTGAAAAATCACTATGATCCAGTGTTATGACATTTAGGATAAACTAGCAATTTAACTAGTATTTCATTACAGGCAATGATTATTTTTTTATGACATTTAGGATAAACTAGTAATTTAACTGGTATTTCATTACAGGCCATGATTATTTTTTAAAAACAATATGGGCTATATTAGCTACTTCAATGTATTTTTTATCATAAAAACTTCAAAGTATAAATTGAAAAGCCTATTCAAATATCTCATTAAATGAATTAACAATCATTTATGTAAATAAACTAGGGTAATTAACCATAACTAAAATAAAAATTTATAAAATTAAGAAATGAATATCAATCAGGATATGCAACCACACAAAATAAGATGTTTACCTGATTGTATTTACTAAACTTGTTTATTAAAATCAATAAAAGATAAATTCACAACCTAAAAAACTCATAACTTAAAAGATAAACAAAAATAAAATTGAATTCTAAATGAATTTGCATAATATCTTGAAAAATCAAACACAAACAAAACAACTCTAAAAAAACTTATATTAAAAAATGACATGCAAAACTCGTGACTTGGATTATAAGATTATGATAAATTTATAAAAAAGAAATTAAAGATAATTACAAAACCAATATTAAAAAAAAACAAATGCAAAGCGATAAGATCGTATGAAGTCGAATATTTAACAAACCAAATATCAAAAGATGAAATAAAAAAATTACATAAAAGAATCTAAAATATAAGGGTGAAAAAAAATTAATTAGAGAGCAACTAAAAATTTGATTTGATATGCGCTTCGTAACAGATCATAATTTTTCTTTTCAAAAAAACTTGAGTGTAAAAACTATTTTGATATGTTTTTTTACATAATATAGCAACTAAAAATTTGATTTGATATGCGCTTCGTAACAGATCATAATTTTTCTTTTCAAAAAAACTTGAGTGTAAAAACTATTTTGATATGGTTTTTTACATAATATAAATTATAAATGTAAATGAAAAGTTTATCCAAACATCTAATAATCATTTATGTAAATAAATAAATTTTTTGTTAACAATAACTATAAGAGAAACTGAAAAAATTAAGAGATAGACATAGATCAAGATATTTGATCTCGCAAAATAAGATATTTACTTATTTGTGTCCATTAAATTGTTCACTAAAATCAATAAAAGATAATAGAAATAAAAACACGTATGAAACAGAGTAAATAAAATAAAAAAAACACGTAACAAATATTATTTCAAAATAACTATTTTTTGTACAAGACAAAACCTACTTATATAAAGTAAATTAAAAAATCAACAAAATTAACACACAAAACAATACAATTTTTTTTTAAAAAAATAAACATTTTTATCCCAAAATAGATTGCAAAAATCATAGTTTAGGTAACGAGACGAAGAGAAACTGATATAAAAAAATATGAAGGTAACCATAAAACATTTTTTTAAACAATGTATAATGATAAAATCACAAAATATAATGAGGAAAAAAATTGATTCCTATCCATATTAACACTTAAAACTTGTGACCCGTGTCATTAAATTGAAAGCATTACAAATAAAAAAATCATGAAGTCCAATCTCAAATAAATCAAACACCAAAAGATATATCGAGGAAAAAATCAACCTTGTAAAAAATTTAATTAAAAAATAAGGTTTGAAACCAAAATAAAAAATAAATTTGAGGGCATTTAAAAATTAAATTGCAATGTTAAATTGAAAAGAAAAAAATAATTAACAAAGAGAAAAAAGAAATCAAAAGAATAAAGACTAAATTGAAAAAAAAATAACATAAACTTTGATTGAAGGATAAAATTGAATACTAATAAAAATTTAACAAAAAATCCAAGGGTAAAAATGACAAATCAAAAGAATAAGGACTGAATTTATGAAAAAAATACATGAAAAATTGTAATTTAAGGACTAAATTGAAAACATAAAAAAACTTTCCAAAAAGGTCAATGATGAGAATAAGTAATAAAAAAACATAAGGGTTGAAAATGAAAACAAAAAAAAAAAGACAAACATGTACTTTAATTGAAAGAGAGAGAAAAGTAGGAAGAACAAAGAAGAAATGACCATCGATGACAAATCCTCGAGCCACCACTAACATGCTCTACACCAAGGGGAAGAGCACGTGACGAAGCTTCTAGTGATATGATAAAAGGCCAGTTTTGAACAAACAATGGTGTCGTACAAGCCGTTGAAAGAATATGAATGTTACCAACATGCTAACACATAAAAAACAAGAACCAACAGCTTTTCAAAATTTAATAATAAAAATAAATGTTAAATTACTAAAAAGCCTCTCATAACCTTAAAAATAACAAATAAACCAATGTAAGAGTACTAAAACACCATTGAATGCATATAAGCTATTTTGTCTTATCCAAGAGCAAAGAAGTATTTTGCTTGTTAAAAAACCCCTTGGTTAGTAGGTTTAAATTTCATTGACATTAGGGGTAGAAGAATATTTTTATTGTACAAAATAATATGAAATGACAATATTTATGTCCAATCTTTTAACGACGGAAATGACAATATTTATGTCCAATCTTTTCCAATGAAGAATGCATCAACATAAAAAGGATTAAAATACCCTCATATCACAGCCTTCAAACTTTTCCAATGAGGGGCACAAAGTTAAATTCACTGTAGCAATCCATAGTAAACTTTATCTATTGCTACAATGAATTCACTATGTGTTTTTTAGTATTATTTAATTAGAATTTATTTTGAGACACTCGAACTAAATAAATAATTTGATATGATCAAACGATTGGAGACTTAGTTGAAAATAGGATAAGATGTTATAAGCTAAATTATTATTTTTTTAAAGAGAAGATAAAGTTTCCTTTTCTCTCTTTCTCTTTGGTATGACCAAAATTTGTTCTTAATTTTTATTTTTGTTCATTTTTTAAAGGCTGGATGATTCATATAAGATGCAACCTAGTTTGAATTCTTAAAAACAACCCATCCAAATTGGTTGTAAAATCTTATGATTCTTAGAATAGTTTTGTTTTATGTAAAATATTTTACAAATAAAAAATATATTACATGTAAAATAATATTTTTCTATATATTTTCTTGTTCTTGTAAAATATTTTTCAATAATAATAATAATAGTGAAGGAGGTGATAGTGATAATTATGAAAAAAGAGGTGATGAAAAAGAAAAGGATGGTAATGATTATGGTGAGAAAATATGTGGTGGTAAGATGATAGTGGTGGTGGAGGGGTGGTAAGGTGACTGTGGCGGTGGTGATGGTAGTGGAGGAGGTGAAAAGGATGGTGCAATAAAATAACGATGATGGTAAAATAATAATGGTGATGATGATGAAGAAAAAGACAACAGTAAGATGATGGTGATAATAAAAGAAGTTGTGAGGTGGTTATTGTAGTAGTGATAAAGAAAAGGGGTGGTGGTCATGGTAAGATAGAGGTAATTGTTGCAAGAGTTAGATGATTTTGTAAGTGAATCATTATTCATCAAATATTATTGAAAAATATCTTTTAGCAAATAAACTAAGTTTGAAGGTTGATTGTAAAATATTTTTTATTGAATAATTTTATTATGAAATGCTTTACATGAAATAAACATAGAAAAATATTTTTTGGAAACAAACACGAAAAAATTTTAAAAATATTTTATACAAAACAAACATATTCTTTATAATTTTTTAATTAGTGAATTGTGATTTATTTATATTTTAACCATGGCATTTTGAAGTTATTGATATTATTCAAAAAATAAAGTTTAATTAACTAACAAAAAAACTAGGGAACTAGGGGGAGGGTTAGTATACCCCTGTTGACATAACATTATTTACTAGAATGATTTTTTTTTCTTTGGTTTTTTCCTCTCTTATCTATGTTTTTTTTTTCTCAATTTCAATTATATCCTTCAACATTAAGTTTATTAGAGATTGGATTTCATAATTTTTTTTAATCTCCTTCTTATGAGATTATCTCATTCTCATGTTTTGGACCATGAGTTTGATGAGTTAATTCAGTTGACTTGAATTATTATTTTTTCTAAGTGATTTTTCTCCCCTTAATTTAATCCTTCAATATTAGATTGATTGAGAGTTATACTATGTGATTTATTTTGGTGTACTTTTTATGAGGTTATCCCCTTCTTATGACTCAGGTCACGAGTTTAACGGGTTAACCCTGATTGACCTAAGTTTTTTTTCATGTTTTTTTATCAAGTTTTTTTTTTCAATTTCATCTTTCAACACTTGATTGATTGAGAATTGAGCTTCATAATTTTTTACCATTTGCTTTCTATTGAGTTATCTCAATCTCTTAACCTAGGTTGAGGTTTTAACAAGTTAATTCGTGTTAACTCAAATTGTTTTATGGATTTTTTTTTAATTGATTTTTTCAGTTTTTTCCTTCAACATTAAGTTTGTTAGGAATTAAGCTTCGTAATTTATTTTGATTTACTTTCTATGAGATTATCATGATCTCATATCTTGACATATAGATTAACAAGTTAACTAAGGCTGGTCTGAATTGATCCAATATGTTATTATCTTAATATTTATTAAAAATATCTCATCTTAAATATTTATTTTGAATCAAACTATTTTTTTAAAGGTTATTTTAGTTACTTTTGAGCCCGCCAAAATGACCAAGCCACATTAGATTAATTCTCACATAATTTTAAATTTTTTTCTACTAGAAAAAACATTAGCAATATCAAGATATTTTTTAACATTAATTTTTTTATCTAACCCGTAGTGTAGCATAAGTCAATTATCCAATAATTAACTAAACATCTAAAAGAACTAGATTCCTTTAGTTAGCATCATTATTCACATGAACTATATCAACAATTTATTTTATTTTTATTTTTTAATTATCCTTCAATTTTTTTTATTTAATTCATTTGTAATGTAATTTCATGAGATAAAGTTTTAAATTTTAGTAGAAAATAAAATTAAAAGATAGAGAATTATAATAAAAATCACGGAGAAAATACATGATCAATTTTTCTAATTTATTTTATTAATTTTTTAGTCTATGGATTTGAGTGAAAAGAAAGAAACTTGTTGAAAAACAATAAAAAAAAAATAAAGTTATTAATTGACTATATTTTAGCCATAAAAAAAATAGGATCTCCCTCAATAGATTTATTTTTTTGAGAAGAATTTAAAGGATATAATTTTTCTTTTTAAATATAACAAAAAAAAAAGATCATTTGGTTTATTTTAATTTAATTAATTTTTATTTTTTAAAATGATTTTAGAGTATTTTGGGTTGTGATCATGAAAAGCTGTTTTAAGATAAGCATTGAAGTGAAAATAAGTTAAAATTGAGTTTTTGGAATTTGAAAATATTACCTTCTCCGATAATGATTGGAGGTGGCTGGAAAAATACCAATCGCCCTCCCCTCCAGACAACATGCTGCCCACAATGAAAAAAGGAATATACAAAAGCGGACAGAGACATTATGGTTCACGAAATTAAGAAAGCATTGGGATGAGATTATTACATCTTACATCGTTAGATGCTTTAATACTCTGTTCTCAAAGGGCTCACTTTGTTGTTTTGTTAATTATTGTAAAATCTCGATGCATTTTCAGCGATTCCTGTGTCCACCTGTATAATACGGACTGTGTGTATCATTCGGGATTTCTAAGGTTTCTCAATGAGTAATAATCTGAAAATAGTTGGCTGTCTTGCAACATTATGTACATGAGAGCTACACCAGAAAGGAAAGAGGCAAACCACCGTTCAATCATCCACTTTCGAACAAGTAAACTTCCTTTTCCATGCACCTGGAGCAGGCTCCTCCACTGCCTTCGCTGCAGCCAGTTCACTATCGGCTGCCACTTGAGGTAGTCTCTAACGCCGTCTGATGCAAGGACAATGAACTGGTCCTTGGAAGTTACTCGGTGATAAGAGATGTCTGCTAATGCAGTTATGCCACAGTTTTTAGTACAGAATCTCCAAAACCTCGAGACATTACTAAGCCTAGAGAACTTCACGAGGTAGCCGGACTCGATGGATGTGTGGCTCTCTTCCTCTAGTTCAAGTACTCTGCCATTACATTTTCTTATTCTTCTGCTTCGCCTGGATTATAAGAGGATCAAATTGAAAAAATGAGTTGCATATGATCATGAAAAAATGTTGTAATTCTGCCTTTGAATTGAGAAGAAAGTATTTCTTACTTGGTACTCCAGGCTTCAAAGCTGTAGTTAATTGAACATGCACGATTCCGTTCTGATCATTGATTCTGCCCAACGCTGCTCTTGCGTCTCGATCCAAGGATTAGGGTGGCTAGAGCGGCAGCTTCTAGTGGTTGTTGAGGTGGTGGACTGAGGTTGGCTGTGGTGTTCGTATAGGTGTAGGGTTTTAGCGGCTGTGATTTTTTGAGAGTTGAAAGAAGTAAAGAATAAAAGGGAGAAAGCTGAATCGAGTTGCTGACATGAACTGTAAAATGATGATCTGATATATATACGCGCGCGCACGTATGTATGTAAGGACGTAACTAGAAATTTTTTCTATCCTGGACTCTCAAAGATATATATAAATTATTTTATAAGATTAATTATTAATTTATATATATATATATATATATATATATATTTAAGTTAATAATACAATTTTAATTCAAATTTATAATATATAAATTAAAAAAATAAAAATAAATTACACTATTAAAGTTGTACTCTTCCATATTTTATGGAATAAAATTCATCAATGATCGAATCCGAATCAATATTTTCAGCAAGCTCTCGTTTAATGTAAATTATTATAAAATATGCTAAAAACTTATCTTTTATTTTATTACGAAACATATTTTTAACATGTTTTATTGCTGAAAATACTCGCTTTGTAGTGGCAATGAAAATAAACAAAATCAAAATAAGATGAATCAACTTGTCAATCAAATAATAATGCTGTGATTTATTTATTTTAATTAATTTTTGACATAATGCAAAAATGGTAGAGATATTCTAAAAGTTTTTATGATCAATCACATCAATCTAATAATGCTCTATCCGAAATCTCAAATAATATATTTCATGTTCATTAAAATCTTCATGATAAAATTTCTTAACAAGCTTGCAAATAGCATTAATTTTAAATGATTTAAAGTTGTCTTTATGTTCTAAAGTATAGCTAAGCATAAGAAGTTTCATTATCCCATCACTGAATCTAAAATTTAATTATTCATACTAAAAATCTATTATTAAGTTAAATATATCATAATAATAATGTTAGTAAACTATCATTAATTTTTGTTATTGATATAAATGACTTGTAGTTTTTTTATATGAAGTATTTATATATGGTATGTCAATTTCATATTGTGTGTAAATAAATTACACATATGCAAGGAGAAAATCAAATCCGGCATATAATTAAATCAATTTTCAATTTTACAAGCAGTAGTTCTCCATATTTTTCAAGAAGATAATATTTTTTTTTATCTAATAAAAGATAGACTATTTATATATCTAAACTTAATGAAAAATATTCAATTTTCTTAATTAGGATTTCACTAGTATCTTATTTAGGTTATTTGCTAATAATAATTTTATCTTCCTGATTAATATTTATCTATCATATTTTATAAGAGAATTTATTGTAAAAGCTTATAAATTACTGTATAAAATAATTAAATGTGAATAAATATATTAACAATATTTAGTTAATGGATATCACGAGGAAGCTAGTTAGTTTCTAAAATTTTAACCAAATCAAGATTAATATATTTAATAATATTTTTCTTGTTTATATACGTGAAATCCAAAATAAATTTATATTTTTTAAAATACTAAAGATAAAGAAAAGAATATAATTTTATTATTTTTTCATTAAGATATTCTTATCAATTTATTGGATAAAAGATAGATTATTTATATAAAAACTTAATAAAAAAATTAAATATTTTAACTAGGTTTTTACTAAATTATGCGTTTTGGTTATTTACTAAAAATCATTTTACAATTCTAAATAATATTAGATGGAAATATTAGTGCTAAGAGTTTTTTTTTAAGAATATATTTAGAAAAAAATAATTTAAACCCATTAGAGCACTAAATGTTTTTTTAGAACTTATTAATTACTATATTGCATTTATCATGTGTAAATTAAAAATTTAAACACTGATTTATTTTTCTACTTAGGCTACAGTGCACCTCAGCTTTCTACATTTCTCTGTCTATGTATATATGTGTGTGTGTATATATATATTTGGTGTTTGTGCTTGACCAAACTGGACAAAATACAAGCCCTAAAGGAGAAAAAAGTATTAAAAAAATATATTTTTATTTTAAAAATTTATTTTTATCAACTTATAAAAAAATAATTTAAAAACTTCAAAAACAAAAACAAAAAAGAAACTATAATTTTACTTAAGCAGTGAATATTTGAGATTGAAATACAAAATGTTTTTTTTTAATATTTCTCACTTAAAAAATATATTTAAATAAATATTTTAGTTTTTTATTATTATTCTGAACATTATTTCATTAAAATTATTCAATAAAACATTAAATTAACATCTTTCAAGGCAAACTTGTTTTATAAGTTAAATACACTTTCAAAAAACACAGACAAATAATCTTTAAAAAAGCTCCTAGACACTAAAAATCATCGCGCTGCCATACACAGTACTGTAGATTGAGACCATTACATGTCGCCTATTCATTTATAAAAGGGGCTTAAATATTACGAACACTGGTGAAAGATTCAAATTTGCTTTCTGCTATGTAGCAGAGAGCTTCGGCAACGTTCCCATACTTCAGAAGCCTTTCCCCACCATGAACTGGTCCTTGGAAGTTACTCGGTGATAAGAGATGTCTGCTAATGCAATTATGCCACATTTTTTAGTACAGAATCTCCAAAAGCTCGAGACATTACTAAGCCTAGAGAATCTTCACGAGGTAGCCAGACTCGATGGGTGCGTGGCTCTCTTCCTCTAGTTCAAGTACTCTGGCGCCATTACATGTTCTTATTCTTTCTGCTTCGCCTGGATTCTAAGAGGATCCAATTTAAAAAATGAGTTGCATATGATCATGAAAAATTGTTGTAATTCTGCCTTTGACTTGGGAAGAAAGGATTTCTTACTTGGTAATCCAGGCTTCAAATCTGTAGTTAATTGAACATGCATGATTCCATTCTGATCATTGATTCTGCCCAACGCTATCTGCTCTTAGGTCTCGATCCAATACTTGCTATAATAAGATCGTCACCTGTTTTCATGAGCCCAGCTCGTGGGTTTGATGACTTAAGGATTAGGGTGGCTAGAGCGGCAGCTTCTAGTGGTTGCTGAGATCGTGGACTGAGGTTGGCTGTGGTGATCGTAAAGGGGTAGGGTTTTAGCGGCTGTGATTTTTTGAGAGTTGAGAGAAGTAAAGAATAAAAGAGAGAAAACTGAATAGGGTTGTTGACAAGAACTGTAAAATGATGATGTGATATATATATATATATATATATATATATATATATATATGGGATCAAACTTTAACTTATAGCATGTACCATAAAATTCAATTACTCATACTGATGACATAACTTCCATAAACACAATCTTAATTCGTACATATTGCGCAAACCAATAAAAATCAAGGTCCGTCCTGAAACACAGCAGGACAAGATGAGAATGATAACCAATAAGTGGTTATTTTCTTCTATATATATAGAAAGTAGAACAGATATCATGGTGAAGACAACTCCTTCCAGCAATATAAACTGACCAGATCAGGATCGATCGTGTGCTTGTTTAGTGAAGTCATCTGCTCCTGTGAGGAAGGCAAGGCCAAGATCGATGTCCGGATCTTGTTGGAAGTGAAGCATATCAATTTCCTTTAAGGTCATCCATGCCTCAATTCCATCTCCAAATTTGTCGTCCTTCAGAATACTAACATCTATAGGAAAATTCTTTGAACTCGTCCATGCAGGCTTTCCCCAGCCAAAGTTTGCTTCCTCCAAACCTAGCCTACACCAGCTTGAGAACTTGAATGTATCTACTTCCTCCTTGTTCAATTCTTCGAACAACTCTTTATGGTACCTAGTTACCATTGAAAACACATCGTCGCTGTTTACTGCATTTGCGCAATCTGAAATGGCTTTCCTCTTAGCATCCCTCAGCAGACTCGCAATGTCACTTAATTCTAACCTATTGCTCTCACCATTGGCATTGAATCTAGAAATGAAAGGCATATACATGTTCCCACAAGCATTTTCAGGTAAAGGCATACTCACCTTTCTTCTCAGTGTCATTATCTGGCGCACTGATGATGCTCTCAGGTGTCCGTGCTGTGCTTTAACTGAACCAATGAGAGCCTTCCATATAAGTGCTGTGACCACCTCCAAGCGCGAATGATGGTACTTGACTCCTGAATCGGTGCCACCACCAATTTTAGATTTCAGCTTGTCTATGGCTTCCTTGTTAAACACAAATACTTTTGTGACAATCTTAGGTTGAACTTTTGGTGCTGGTGGAAAATTGAGACGTAAATCTCTTTGTGGGAAGAGAAATGGGCAATCAAATCTTGGACGACGAACTTGATCACTTATCCCACGTTCTCGGAATGTTGTAGCCCATGCATTGATGAATGTGGAGATTGTTGGCATATCAGCTATCCTGTGCGAAGTGAGCAAGCCGATCGCTAAACCTCCACACTTAAACTTGTTGATTTGGATGGCTAATAAACGACTAGTGTCTGATTCAGTTACACAAGGAACAAAATGATCCAGCAGATCACGATTGCTATTGGGGCCTTGTTGGATAATTTGTGTGAGGTCTACCCCATCAACTTTGGCTTCCAGGAACTCCACCCCTTCATCATTACAATCAACTGAGAGATTATCTTGGATGTATCTTCCTGCTAGAGGGTAAAAGAGGGTTAATATTTCGGATAAAGATTTCTCTAGATCTTCGATGTTATTGACATGGTGGTTGTCAGGATAGTAGAAAATATTGGGTACATTCAGTGAAGGAGCAAGCTGATCGAGAAATGATATGTTCAGATTCTGAAGGTGAGGAGGAGTTTGAACTGATGGTTTTATTAGCTTTCTAGATATGAGATGAACCTTCATTGCCAGCTTGCTATATTTCGACTCGATCATTGCCTTTCCCCCTTTTAATAGCTACGTGCTGAGATGGTAGGTGGGTTTTGAATCATGGAAGCTGAGTAGGAACTTGAAAGTTTGATGAAGTTATCAACCTAATCTCTTAGCTTATTTGTTTATTGTTTCTATGTATTTCCTTGGACTTTGGTATAGAACTTATGTATGCTTGCGCTGGAAGAAAATCTAACAGATTCATTTATGAACCAGTGAAATACAATATGTCAAGTCTAAGATTTTGTGCTAACAGATTCATTTATTTTCAGCTTTATTGTTGTTGCAAGCCACCATATCCTCAAATTCATTTATTATCAGCTTAATTTTAGATTTTGTGCCTGATTTTCTTTTCTTTTTTTATCTAGGATTCTAATTTTTCTACTTTTTCTTTTTTTATCTAGGATTCTAATTTTTTTATCTTGGCCCTCTTAATGTAAAGTTCGGTTTTTTTCACCTATTTAAGAAGTTATAAAATTTATCAGAGTGGCATAATATATGTCCGAGATAATTATTCAGAAATAAAATACAAGTCCATGGACCCCATTTGAACTTCGCTGCTGCTTCCCAGTCAATCACAAAGAAAGTTCAATGCGTCAATTTTGAAAACCCAAATTGGAAAAGGAAACGACCATGAAGTAATTAAGAGGGCCGAAGCCATCAACGAGAAATGAAGACAAGTTCAACGCGTCAATTTTGCAAGAACCCTACTTACTAGTAGTATTTCTGATATTTTCTTTATTACTCTGAAGACAGCAAGAGTGACTGATTTTATCCTGACAGTGTAATGATGCGGAGTTTTCAGAAGGGTTTGGACACTGATATGGCTATCTTTGTTTTCCTTTCATGCCAACTTGACAGTGTCTTCATCCAGGGACACTTTAATTGTTCTGTTCATCATAAAGGAAGATGCTGGGAGGTTGGTTCCAGCCTCCACTTTTGACCTCTGTACATCCAACAACTTATATGGGATTGTGACCGGAAATGAGAGGGCCAAGGGGCCATGACAAAGAATTGGCCACCTCCATTCTCAATTATTGGCAATACTTAATTAACATTACTGTAACTTTGATGTTGCTGCCCAGAGGCAAGCATATCTTTTGTTTCACCACAGCAAGTTCTTTTCTTAGTTTTTCCTCTATTTGAATTCCATTAAATCCGAATCAATGTTTTGAAACCCGATGGATTCACTCGCAATTAGAAACTTAAGCTAAGCTGGGTTTAAATAAAAATAAAGAGAAAATTAATTTAATATGATCTGTTAAAAATATAGATTGACACACATACTGGTCAATCCAAAAAAACCTTTGTCAAAAACTGTTAATTTTTTTCTCTTTTTATTTTTTAAAATGATATTATTTTTATTTTTTATTTTAAAAAATAATTAGCCCACTTCAATCCATATAAACTGTAACCCAGGACTTCTTAAATCGAGTTTAAATAATATGATACAAATTTAAAACAAAAAAAACCATGACGTAAAAGGGTTGATGTCATATAAAGGAAATGAAACACGTTTAATACATCAATTTTGCAAGAGACCGTTTCGATTTTTTTAATTTAGATGTTGGGAAAAAAATTACAGAAAAAAGGATAAAATTAGCTTAATTATGCACTTTATCACTCAATTTGTTTTCTAACATATTTTGTATTTTAAAAAGATTTATAACTCTTTAAATAAGTTAGAAACTTACATTTATAAAAAGAAAAAGAAAAATCAGAATTCTAAGTTAAATAAAAAACATAAAATCCAAAACTAAGTTAAAAATAAAAAGAAAATTTTTTGGGGGTCTAAAACAACATATTTAAAATTTAATTAGAGAGTTTTTGATGTAGATAAAAATAACACAAGAAAAAAATATAATTCAAGCAAAATAAAATTCTACTAAATAGAGTTATTATAAAAAATTAATTTGATATTTTATTATTGAATATTTACAATATTCTACTAAATAGAATTATATATCATATAAAAATTTATTATTAAATATATATTTTTTAAATATTCTCTTGAAATACAAGTTAAATAACTCTATTTATATTATTGAATGACCTAAAGACATTCTGGTTGACGTAATAAAGCATTGGGATGAGATAGATAGGAAGGCATGCGATTTTCGAATTTTTTTAGGGATTATTTCAACTCACATCATTGGATGCTTTATATATACTCTTATAATGACACTAAATTTCCCATGTAATTTTTATATTTCTTGTAATCCTGTATACATAGAAATGGGGAGTTTTTTTTTTTATGTGACCAGAGGTTGTTTCTTTTTTTTTTAATGTAATTTTCACATTTCTTTGCGATTTTCCTCTCTCACTAAAAAAAACAGAAGATCTTGGTTTTGGACTTCAAGATTTTAGGTTCAAGAAGGGTTAAAGAAAACAAGTAGGCATGTCCCTCTCCTTAATGCGGAAGAATCGAAGAAGAGTTGGGGCTTCTATTTTGAGTTGATGATTTTATAATTTAAGAAATTTAATTTATGTATTAGGATGGTAGTTCTATTTAAATAAATTGGGTTAATCTCTAGATTGTGAATTTGTTGAAGACCATAAGGTTTATTCTTTTGGGCTCTATGGATTGAAAATTGACAAGTTAGAATTTTAAAAACTCCCAACCAATCAGTTTATCAATTGATTTATGTAATGATTGATCGGTTGCTTCTATAATGATAATTAATTAAGCTTATTAAATTCAATTAGTTTAGGTTATTTTTAAAATTAAATGAGTGAATTAGTTTAATTTTATTATTATTATTTAATTTTTAAATTTAGAGTTTTAATATTTAATATTTTATTATTTTGAATTGTATTTTAGTATTTTTTATATCCATTATAGGTTCTATTAACATTTCTTTTAGCAAGCTTTACTAATCTTTGATTTTGTATTCATTTATCATTTTGCTCTATTTTCTAAGGAAGTGAGATGATTTCTATTATACGATATATATATATATATATAGACTAATTTGTATAGTATTAATATCCTACTTAGCAGTTAAAAAATAAAATATCATGTTCATGCAAGATAACAACTCTTCGTTAATATGATTTATTTATTTTTTTTATAATAAATGAATTAACATGATAACAAAAACAATTGATAAATTAATATATTTTTATTTGTCACAATCACAATCATAATATATATTAAATATCATATTTTAAAATTGCAATAAATAATTAATACTATAGTTAAAAAATAAAATTTTAATTAATATCATTATTTTCAACTGTCAATTAATTATTGTTTCAATATCAATTATCTTCTATTTTAACAGAGTTAAAGTTTAAATTCAAATAAATTTATCTTTAGATGTTATACTATTTGTTTATGTATTTTAAAAATAATTTAAAAAAAAAATAAATTTTTTTATTAATTTCAAATTAATATATTTTTAATATTTTAAAATTATTTTAATATATTGATATTAAAAATAAATTTTTTAAAAATAAAAAATATATTATTATTATATATATTTTAATATAAAAAATTATTTAAAAAAATAACTATAACTACAATCAAGATTTCATCAGACAAGACATTCTAGAAAATTTATTGTGATTTCTTTAAACACAATTAAAGAAAGAGTTTGTCTAGGTAATGTGATATTAACTAAATATTATTTTTTAAAAGCATTACATGTGAAAGGTAAAAATATATTATTTTTTAAAAAAATACAAACAATATAATTCTGTAAATTTTTATTATTGCTTTGTAATTAAAAAAATAAATCCTAAAAGAATAGTACAGTGAAAGCTCCCAACCTCGATCAAGGGAGCTTGATCATGGGAACCGTGAATTCCGAACCCAACTGTTGTTTCCTGGTTTCTAACCGTGATCATCAGTGTGTCATTCCCTTTTGTTTATTATTATTTTATTTTTTTAATTCAGTCCTTAATTTTTTAATTCTGTCATATTCAGCCAATTTTAGATTGTTTTTTCAAGATTTCTTTCAATTAAGCCCTTGATAACATTCATAATCATCCTTCAATATTGAGACCTTTTACACTTCAGCTCTTGGATATTTAATTTGCACAATTTTGATCAAATTGATCCTAAATCTCTTTTTTTTTTCTTTTAAATAAGCCTCTAATTGAATTAATACAATCACCATATTTCAAAATTTATTTAATCTTGGTTCTTGATTTTTTGATTATTTTAATTTTTATCTAATATTTTAACTTTAAATTTCAGTTTTTTTATTCAATTAAGCTTTTAATTAAACCATTTGGATCCTCAAATTTCAGTGGCTGTTTTATTTTGATCTTTGATCATTTAATTTTTTTACTTTTGATCAAAATAACTTTAAATTTAATTAAGCCTTTAATTGAGTTAATTCAAATTCCAAACTTTTCCATCTCTCTTATTGTGGTCATTGACTTGTAAATTTAGCTTCTTCTTTTTTTATTCTGATTTTTTTTCTAGATAGGCTCTCAACTAAAATAATAGGAATTCAAAATTTAATTTGTTATCCTTTTTATTTTGATAATTGGTCTTTTAATTCTTTTAATTATGACCAATTTCAACTTTTTTTTTAATTAAAATTCAAATTGTATATCCACATGACTTTCTTACCCAGCACATCATAACCTGAAATTATATTTTATTTTTGAAATATTTTTTTTTGAAATATTTTTTTTTTAAATTGATTTTTTCCTTGAAAATACAAGATATGGCAAACAACATATACAGAGAAAGCATTGCTAAGTTGCTCCACTCCCTTAATTATTGGTGATTATTATTAGATTGTTATTAAATAAATACTTGTTTAGTGTAAATTAAATATGTGCAAAATTAATAATGAATAATAAAATTGCAATATACATATATGCGCAAAAGAACTGAAACCACATATAAAATTTTTCTCTTGTTTTTTCTCTTACATGGATGAGATTTTTATAATATATAGGTTATTGCAGGATACTTTTAGCTAGTGCAAACTGTTCTTTTTTCCTTGTGTTTTTTTTTCTTTTGGATGAGATTTTTTTTATTGTTTTGTTTTTTACTATGACGGATGATCTTTCCAAATATGATATATCAATTTAGATCATATTTATTTTTTAAAAAATAGATTTTAAAAAATTATTTTTCAAATTTTTCTATTTTTTAAATTTTCCTATATTTGTTTATCATTATAAAAGATGGTTAATGAGAAATACTTTCTAGTTAACAAAAAACATTTTTCAATTGTAGAAAAATACTTTTCAGTCAGGAAAATACTTTCCAGTCAAATGAAAATTTGACTAGGTTTCTAGGAAAATATTTTTTCTTATGAATATATTTGTTTTTCAGAAAGTAGTTTTCAAAAAATCAATTTCCAAACTTTCATGTGTTTGTTTGCCATTAGAAAAGTTGGTCAACGGAAAACACTTTTCAGTCAAAAAAAAATTTGACTTGGTTTTTAGGAAAGTGTTTTCCTGAAAAATTTGGGCCGAAAACATTTTTCAGAAATTATGAAAAATTTAGAAATATCATTATTTACTGATTATATCAAATTTAATTCTCAAACTTTTGATTGCTATATATATTTGGTTTTGAATATTTAGTTTTTAATTTCATATCTTAAAATTTAATTTTTATATTAACTTTGATCCTTATTTTTATAATTATTATTTACTTTTTTCTTATTATTTTTTTATTGAATTTTTTTATCTATCAAATTTGGTTCTCATTCTTTTAATTATTACTTATTTTATTTGAAATAATTTATGAAATGTTAATTATTATTATTTTAATTTCTTCAACCTTTTTTTGGATTTGATTTTTATTATTTTTATTATTGTTTATCTGAGATAATTTATGAAATTATATTTTTTTTTCAATTTCATTCCTATTCAACTTTTTAATTTGTAAAATTTGCTTCTCATTATTTTAACAAACTTGAAAAAAATAAAACATTAATAAATTATTTTCCAACTCATTTTCCATAACATAACCAAATATTGTAAAATATTTTTCAACTTATTTTTCATTACACTACCAAATATTAAAAAATACTTTTTTGAAATTCATTTTTTTTAAATTTTAATTTTTTTAAAAAGCTACTTTCCAAGAATTAAGTTTTTAGATTTGGAAAATTAGGTAATTTAAATAAATACTTTGAGATTCTAATCTTATTCGAAAAGGATTGATATTTAGTGGCAGTGTGGGATGACTCAAAACCTTTCATCAATAGGGCCGGTCGTCACGAGAAACTTTAGTTTGGGAAGAAACTTGTTGTGTGCGTGATTTAAAAGAAAAGTTCATTTTTCAAAAAAAATTAGTGTGCGAAGTTTACGGAGATAGATACGTAAAAGTGTTTGGAAATGTGGATTAATTTATATTTTTAAAAGAAATTTTAAAATGTTGGTGTTAAAAATTAATTATTTTTTTTGTTTTGAATTTTTTGATATGCTGATTTTAAAAATAAAAAAAAATATTTTAATACATTTAAAAATAAAAAAATATTTTAAAAAGTAATTGTAATTATATTTCTAAACAGGCTAATTTAACTCATTTTTATTGAACTCTAACTCGTTTCTCTTACTAGTTGGTTGGAAAAAATTTATTATTATTATTATAATTGAATTAATTATAGTATTTAATTTGAATTTAAGTAATAAATAAGTTGAATTTAAATATTTAGAAGAGATAAAATTCAATTCCTTTTATTTTGAATATTACATTCATTATCTTCATAGTATTCCTTTAAATGTTTTTTAAAAAATATATGGGTAGATGAGTATTTTAGGAATCTAGTTTTAATATTAATTTTTATTTTTTAGTGTAGTAAATGATCTCTAATTTATTTTTATATTATTTTTAAAAATTAAATTCTACAATTTAAAAAAAAACCTCAATCACTCTTATAAAATACATCACAAAACGTATCATTCACGTTTTCTTTTTTTGTGAGATGACTCCTTTTTTGTCATGATGATACATCAATGACTCTGAGATACAATTATAAGATGACTTCTTCTTTTTCCACTTAAAGATAAGAGTGGCAAAGCAACAGTGCATGTCATAATAATTATTATTTTTTAATTAATATGAATGTTTCAATTTAATTAGTGTGTATATTTTAACTAATTTTATAGATTTAATTATATAAATTTTTATTAATTTTGAAATTTATAAAATTAAAATTGATAATTTTTAAAAAATAAATCTATAATATAACCTGTTAAACTATATTTTAGGTTTCATATCACAGTTTAATAACATAAATAAATATAATTATCACAGTTTAATAATACAAATAAATATAATTATGTTTTAGGTTTACACACAATCTCTAGAAAAAATCATCCTAAAAAAAAATGATGAGAACAAATTTGCTGGACTCCTTTTAAGGTGTCTAATATTGCTCAGAAGCATAATCATATTGTAGATTTATTTGCTAATTAAGCAAACATTGAGAAGAATTATTTTATGCAATTCGCTTCCTTGTCCACCAGAAGTTTAATGGAAGTTTCTATATACTTAGAATTTTTTGTTTAGATGATCTCATTGTTGATAGTCAGAATTTAATAATAAATATTTTAAAAGTATTTTTTTACTTAAACATATATATTTTTTTGTTTTTAAAATCACTATAGTAAAATCATCAAATAATTTGTTTGGAACTAAATCATGAGCGGAATTCAATTTAATTTTATATGTGATTTGAATTTGATTGATAATATATATATATATATATATATATATATATATTATAATTTTTATATATAGAATAAAATATTAGATTACATAATCAAATTGAATTTGAATACGTACAGAGATGAATTGAATTGGCTATTTTGCTTTTAATTTAAAAATAAATTTGATACGAAATCAACACCATAGATAAAACGTGGATATGCATACCATTGGATTCACTGAATCAAGTAAATTTTTTTTATATATAGTTTTTCCTGAATTTGAAGTCCTCGACGACTCTGAGTCCATGAAGAAAAGAGGGCAGAAGCCATTAACGAGAAATGAAGACAAGTTCAATGCATCAACTTTGCAGGAACCCTACTTGGTAGTATTTCTGATATTTTCATTATAATTCCAAAGACAGCAAGAGTGACTGATTTTGATGGGATCGTAGCCGGGAAGGAGAGGGCCAATGGGCTAGGACGAAGAATTGACTAAGAAAAAGATAAAATACTTAATTAACATTACTGTGTCTTTGATGTTGCTGCCCAACCAATCCTAAGGCAGGCAATTTTGTTTTATTGATATATATATACAGGAAAATCACAATCACAAAGATAAAATTAGTTGAATTATGCATTTATTATTGAATATTTCTTTCCTTGATGTGATTTATCTTTTAAAAGTTTCATAACTCATCAATCTTTATAAGGAACGAAAATGAGAATTCTATGTCAAATTAAAATCTATATAAAATCCAAAATTAAATTATATAAAAAAAAAAACAAAAAAAAAACAAAATTCATTCAAATATCATCTTCCAACCGGATTTAGAAGGCTTTGACATGAATTAAAATAGCACAAGAAAAACATAAAAAAATAAACAGCATATAATGGAATCCTCGTACAAAAATTCTAATTTTGTTATTGATAGTCTTTTGATATACAAACTAAACAATTTCATTTATATCAGTTCTTAGCCTAAACTGAATACATAAAAATTCCTAAACTAAATGATTCCCTTACTAAATAAGAATTTCTTTTTAAAAAAAATTCTCTTGCATTAGAGTTGTATTAGTTTTCTTGAGTTGGAATGAACATTTCCTCAAATTCAAATTGTTCTTGCTTAAATATTTTTGATGTCCAATCAAAACTTCTCAACTTTTTTTTTTACTTCAAGTATATAATAATTTTAGATATCAAATATAATCCTTTCATGTTAAAATTTATATAAAAAATAATAATTGATAAATTATTTCTTTTTAATTGGCTTCTATAGTAATTAATTGCACACTTCAAACTTGTTTCATTAACATAGTTGTATCCATATAATAAACTTTTTTATAATAGTAAATTTATAATCAAAAGTATCAACATTGCCTAAATTAATCATTTGTTGAGAATATTTAATTCTATTTGCATTCAACATATAACTTATCAATTAAGACATTATTAATGATATCATATTTGTTGTTATTCATTGTTTATAATATTATTATTAATATAATCATTATAAAAAAATCATAAATTAACAGGAAATACTAATCCACCTTTATTTTATCATAAACAGGGTCACTGAAATCCCAATGATTTTTATTTTAATTAAGAGATTATGTTTTTTTTTCCCTCTCATGATGGTACATCAATGACTTTGGAATATATTTGTGAGATGACTTTCTTTTTCACTTGATAGTACATTAAAGTCTTTGAGATACAACATATTTTCTTCATTTTTTGTTTTTAGTGTTAGGCAATGAATTGGTGGCTTATATTGTTAATAAAAGAGGTGTTCGGTATTGAATTTGTTGAATATTATACATATATTTTCTTCATTCTTTACTTTTAATGTTAGCCAATGAATTCGTGGCTTATATTGCTAATAAAAAGGGTGTCTGGTATTGATTTTCTTGGATATTATACATACAGTGAAAATTATAAAACAATTATTCAAGAGTTTTTAGAATCTCATTAGATAGATTTAGAGTTTTAATGGATATATTACATATAGATCTAATCTTCTTCATCTTTGAATATTTTTTTAAAGGTTGGGTTATCGCAAACTATAAGTCGTTCAATTATCTGGCCTACAACAATAATCCAAACTAGCACTAATGAGAAATCTCCTAAATTCCTATTTAAGAAAGAGAGATTGTTATATTTAGAGTGCTAGCTCTAATTCTTTGTTTTTACAGTTTATCTATCTAACAGACATCAACCTCTAAAATAAGAGGTATAACTTTCAATTTATAGAAAAATCTGAAAAACCGTATAAATTAGTAAGATATCAATTTGCCTTCTAAATAATATTCATCATATATTAATTTATGATGATTTTAGAAATTAACTCAATAAAGTTCTTACTTGATTTTTCTAGGTTTAGAAATATAATCTTTGTTTTAATTATATTCTAATCCTTAATTTTTAAAATATATTTTAATCAAGTCATACTTAATTAAATAATCCCAATTTAATTTCTAACTAACGGTTCTTATTGTGTGTGACTTATTAGGTTTTTAATATGTTAGCTCAAATATAAATTTTAATTCTAGTTAAATAGAATTAAATAAATTAAAAAACTTAATTTATTATCAATTAAATAATTGATTAATTTATATTTAAAGATCAAGTATATTGTTTAGCAACATGTCATGATCCTTCAAATATTAGAAAAGTTATTAGTGGTTTGACTAACCTTTTAGTAATTGATTTCTCATTATAATTAATATCCTTTCATCAATAATATTTTGATATCAATAATATTTTGATTTAACATTAAAGCATAAAAAATGTCTATCATATTAAATTATATTTATTCTCTACATAATAGTCATTGATCATTTGAATAAAATTTAAAATCCTTTTCAAATCTCATTTCATATTAGTCAAGGATTTTTCATCAATATTATTTGAGAATAAATAAAATATTTTTTTAATTTATGTAAAATGATGAATTATCTCTTGATCACTCAAGTATTTTTATATAGTTCATGTTATACCTAATATATGTCCTTTCATCATCTTAATTAAGATAACATATAGCAGGGTTAAAGAATATCATTTTGTATATAAACTAACATACTGATCTCAAGTCTAAGAATTACTTACACAATTATCACGTGAGCTTTTTTATAGATATAGGTGATCTATTCATATGAAATTTGCATGCGAGTTAATTCAGTATGCATATCTTATGACAAGCATCTACATATTAGTTCTAGGTATTCGTTATACCTGAACTTATGAGAACAATTATTTTTTTTCATAAAGAAAATAATATAAAATGTACTAGTTTCTACAATTCTAATGAATGTCCAATATTTAAGAGAGCATTGACTATGAACATTTTAGAAATAATGATTTGATGCAATAGGAATCGCATAATTATAATAATTTTATTATTTTATTTGCAAAATATTTTTGTCTATGGACTTTATCTTTACTTTAAATTTAATTTAAATTAAATATTAGATTCATTAATATAATATTATATGAATATTAAAGATAAATTAAGCTTTTATTAATCATAAATATATAGTTACATGGATATAATAAGGTCACGTGTAACCAATCGATTGATTATAATACATATTAAACTAACATTTGATACCGTAGTAACAATTGTTTCTTAACGTGTTTTTTGCTTGGAAATAGATTGAAATATTTTTTTTATTTTTAAAAATTTATTTTTAATATCAATATATAAAAACATCTAAAAAAATTAATTAAAAGTAAAAAAAATTATTTTTTTTTAAAAACATTGTACACGGACACAAAACAATGGCAGCAACCATCTATCTTTCTTTAGTCAGCAAAATGGGGTGGCAGCTCCACACAGAAAACAACCCATCAACCCGTATAAGTGCGCTAATTACATGGCATCAATCTTCAGCAGCTATGATGGCTCAAGTGTTCTTTTTCTTGCTTGTTTTCCTTCTCTCTGTCTACCTTCTCCTCACCAAAAATGCTTCCAAAAGGCTTCCACCAGGTTCTTTGGGTCTTCCCATCATAGGTCAAAGCCTCAGCTTCCTAAGTGCCATGCGCAAAAACACAGCAGAAGAATGGCTGCAGGATAGAATAAGAAAATATGGCCCTATTTCGAAAATGAGCATCTTGGGGGCCCCGACTCTGTTCATTCATGGACAGGCAGCAAACAAGTTCGTCTTCAGTTGCGACAGCAACACTCTAGACAGTCAGCAGCCATCGTCGATAAGTAGGGTTTGCGGTGAGAGGAATATCCTGGAACTAAGTGGCCATGACCATAAGCGCGTAAGGGGAGCGCTCTTATCTTTCTTAAAGCCTGAAGTTCTAAAGCAATATGTTAGTAAGATGGATGAAGAGATTAGAAAGCATTTCGAGATGCATTGGCACGGCAAGAAAACGGTTTTGGTCAGTGAATCTTATCTAACAATTGCTAACCTCCACTGATTATAGATATCACAAGTAAAATTTTGTATTCTTGCAACTTTGATGCCTTACACATCTGATTTATCTCTTGACAACATAGGCAATGCCATCGATTAAGACCCTCACCTTCAATATTATGAGCTCGCTGATTATTGGGATAGAGCAAAGTGAAAAAAGAGACATACTCCTACAGCTCTTCCAACAACTAATGGAGGGTATTCTATCAGTACCATTCAATTTTCCCTTCACACGATTCAATCGAAGCCTCCAAACAAGTGGGAAAATCAGACTGATTTTAGAGGATCTTATCCGAGAAAAAAGAGTTGCATTGGAGAATGGAACTGCCTTTCCTCAACAAGATCTTATCACGACCTTGCTTAGTCTCCGAAACGAGGAGAATTCAGCAGTATTAACTGATGAGGAAATTACAGATAATGCAATCGTGATAATGGTAGCAGGCTATGACACCTCCTCCGTCCTCCTTAGTTTGTTGATCAGGCTTTTAGCCGATGATCCATCTATTTATGCCAGCATTCTTCAAGGTATGTAACTAAATTGATTCAATAAAAAAAAACAATATTGCAAGAAATCTTAGCAATCACTACGATTTGAGACAGCAGAACAAGCAGAGATTTCCAAGAATAAAGCCTCTGGGGAGCTTTTAACATGGGATGATCTCACAAGAATGAAACACACATGGAGTGTAGCATTGGAGACCCTAAGGATGACCCCTCCTGTATTTTCTATGTTCAGGAAGGTTCTCAAAGATATTGAATATGAAGGGTACCTGATTCCCAAAGGATGGCAGGTGTGATATGATTCTGAGCTTGCATACCTTATCATTAATATAGTTTAACCAAACCACTTAAAAACATATATAATGCTGTACAAAGTTACAACTTTTTTGAATCAGGTAATGTTGTCGACCAGCATGACACATATGGATGACAGTATCTTCCCACATGCATCAAGATTTGATCCAGAACGTTTCCAGAATAAAGCATCAGTCCCGCCGTATAGTTTTTTATCATTCGGTGGAGGAGCACGCATATGTCCTGGATATGAATTTGCGAGACTTGAAACTCTGATCACAATACATTACCTGGTGAACAGGTTCATTTGGAAACTCTGTCACCCTGGCATTTCTTTTTCAAGAGAACCATTTCCGCTCTTCAAGGATGGGCTGGAGATAGAAATTGAGCCAAGGACCCCTCTGTGATAGATAACTAAATGCATGCTCTCATATATATATATATATATATATATATATGCTCTCTGTCCTTCAATTTGCAGAATGTTCTGTTGAATAATTACTTAAAGTTGAATCCAGATATGAGGGATCTTCCATCTGTGCTTTTGTAGCATTGCTAATTGCCGAGCAGTTTCAGATTTCCATTTTTTTTTAAGTTAATGATGTCGGGAATCGAACAGTCGGATGTGAATGTGTTGTAACTGGAGCACGAAAGCTTAGGGTGATCCCTAGGCATGGTTATAGGTTTTCTCAACAAGGGAGAGAGATCGAAATCCTCTCTTCCTCGAGATCCCCTGAATCGCCTCATCCCCTCTCCCCCGCAACGGGGCTAAAGCTCACAGTCCTAGGTGGTGAATCACTAAACCGGCGGACACATTTATGCATCAATGAGACAATCTAAATAGCTAAACTATGCTATTGATTTTAGGGGGTGTGAAAATGGAGAAAGACTTGTTAGGATTTTTCACAGTTTTGGATAGTTTTAAGGCATATGTGGATCCTGCTCCCCGCATCATCAAGAACTTTCTTGCTTCTCAAGCTGGGACAAGGAAGTTTGATGAATGCATAGACATTTTTTAGTTTCTCAGACACAAAAATTCCATGAACAGAACCCATTAATTAAAGTAAAGAAAAAAAAAGGATTTGATAGAAAAATCGTTCAAGTGGATGTTACATTACTAGGAAATTGGAAAAAAGCAACGGAAATGCTAACAAAAAAAATATTTGATCACTGTTTACTCCAAAAATTAGAACAAAAAATTTCCGTTTGTAATTTCCAGCAAAAATAGTGACGGAATAAAAAAAATAATCAACAATTTTGTCGGCATTTCTAAAGTGTTAAATTGCCGACATAATTCTCATCAGAGATTTTAAAATGAATAAAAAACCTGACAATCCTCTCTTCTCCATCCCCTCCTCTTCATCTTCTTCGATCTCAATTCAAGCCCTAACCCTATTTCTTCAGGTTTTTGACGAGCCCCCCTCTAAAATCTGGTTACCCAACCCGCTGACGCAACCTCCCTCTTTTAATTCTATTTAATATCAAGCTTCACTCTATCAGGAAGAAAACTTATCCATTTTTATTGTAACACCTATTTATATTTAAAATTAATTTATTAAAATTTGTTTACAGAATTTGTAGTTTATATGTCTATTTAAATATTTTGGTTGTTTTATAATTATAATTTTACTGTATTAATGCTTTATTTGTATTTTAAAATTTATTTGGGATTTAAAGAAGATAGATTTTATTTGTAAATTAATAAAATTAATTGTTTGGGATTTACATAGAAGCTAGTATCTACATCAAATATTTAATTTAATAATAAAAATTTATTTATTTTTAATATTTATCAACTATTTTATTTATAAATCTAATATTTTATTAATAAATGAGAATATAGATAAAGTTCTTAGGACAAAAATACTTTGTAAAGAGAACTATCAAGTTATTATAATTATGAGATTTATATTGCATCAAAGTATTATTTCTAAATATTATTGGTCAATGTTCTATTAAGACTAGACATTAATTAGAGTTATTGAAACTGATATATATTATGTTCTTTTTGTATGAAAGGAAACAATTGTTCTCATAAGTTAAGATATGAAAGATACTTATAACTAATATGTAAGTTTTTTTCAGATGATATATACACCGAATTGACTCACATAAAAATTACATATGGAGAGATCATTTGTATATGTGAAAATGATTATGTGACGGTTGTGTAAGTGATTCTTAAACTTGAGATTACTAAGTTATTTTATATAGATAGTATTATGTTTTGATCTTGTTACATGTCGTTATAATAAAAAATAACAAATAGACAAATATTGAGTACCACATGAAATATATGAAGGTATTTAAGTAATCAAGATATAATTTATCACTTTATGTGAATTGGAAAAAATGTTTCACATGTTCTCAAATTAATTGTAATTTTTTTCGCAAAATGGGATGGGATTTGAAAAGAGTTTTAAATCTTATTCAAATAATCAATGATTATGGTATTGAGAACAAACATAATTTGACTTAATAGAAATATTTTATGTTATAATGTTTAAATCAGAATATTGTTAATGAAAAGATAATAATTACACTGAGAAATAACTGAAAGATTAAGTTAAATCACTTATAATTTTTTTAATATTTAAGGGATCATGATAGGTTGTTAGACATTGTATTTAATCTTCAAATATAAATCAATCAATTATTGAATTGATAATAAATATTTACTCTTATTTTATTTAGGATAGTGATTTATATTTGGGCTAACTTATTAGAAAATTTAATGGATCATATATATAAGAACTATTAGTCAGAAATTAAATTGAAATAATTAATCATGTGTGACTTTATTATAAATAAATTTTGAAAATTAAGAATTAGAATGTAATTAATACTAGGGATTACAGTTCTAGACTTAGAAACAATCAAGTAAGGACTTGATCGAATATATTTCTAAAATTAGCCTAAATAATATATTTGATATTATTTAAAAGGAGAATTGATATTTTTTTTTATTTATATGGTTTTTAAATTTCTTTATAAATAGAAAGTTGTGCTTTTTTATTTTCTAAGGTTGAGTATAGTACAATATGTAAACACCTACAACATAAAATAAAAGAGTTAGAACTTTAAGGTAAGGAGATTTCTTATTAGTGGTTCTTGTAGATTACTATTAGAGTCCAAACATTTGAATGACTTGTGGTGTGTGATAACACATCCTTAAAGCAAATATTCAAAGTAAAAAAGAACATCTGATTTTCCAGTAATATTTATATAAATCCTGAACAATTCTAGATCTATCTAATAAAATCTTTAAGACTCCTGAAAAAATTTAAAATTTATAATTTTTATTGCACATATATATATATATATATATTGTAAAAGCCAACAAACATGTCATAAGATTAAACAAAACAAAACAAAAAAACTGACAATGACAAAGAAATGTCAATGGAATATTTTTTTTCTATTGTTGATGGAATAAAAAAACTCTACAAGCAAAGCAAATTTTCAACAATAATATTTTTTCATCAATTCCATCAATATCAAAAAATATTAGTAAAATATTTAAATTATATTTTTTAATTTTCTAGTAGTAATTAAAAAGAGTCTCATTGCATCCATAAAACCAAATACTTATATTCCAAATGTTTATTTTTGTGGAGTTTTTTTTTTTTTCAAGTGAACGAGTCGTACATGGGACACGTATCCCATTATTCTGATTATACAAAACAGGTTATTGTAGACAAAATAATGGAATCTGCATCTTGATATCAACTTTCTTGTACAGAACCTTGAAGTACTTGAGTTCGCCGGATTCAATATTATATTCTCCTCATGACAAACCATTGAAGTCAATCATAATTGTTCAATCCTCGTGATTTATGATTTCGTCCAACGATAAAGGCATGCTATGCGTCGATAACAAGAGAAACAATGGAAGAATACTGCTGATAAAAGACAAATCATATTCTCACATAGGAAGAATTATCTCTCTCATAGACACTGGTTGCTTTAACACCGATCTTGAGAGCAAGCAGCAATGGATCCTGCAATGATTTTCTTCTTGCTTCTTTTACTTCTCCCACTCTACCTTCTCCTGAGCCATGAAAGACCAAAAGGGCTTCCACCAGGTTCTTTGGGATTGCCCATCGTAGGCCAGAGTTTGAGCTTCCTCCGTGCCATGCGCGAAAACACAGCAGAACAATGGCTTCAGAATAGAATAGACAAATATGGCCCCATCTGGAAAATGAGCCTCTTTGGGAAACCGACAGTGTTCCTGTGTGGACAGGCAGCAAACAAGTTCATCTACACTTGTGATGGTACCAAACTTGCCAGTCAGAAACCATTATCAGTAAGGAGGATTTGTGGAGAAAAGAATATCCTTGAATTGAGTGGCCATGAGCACAAGCGTGTGAGAGGTGCACTTGTATCGTTCTTAAAGCCTGAAGCGTTGAGGCAATACGTTGGAAAGATGGATGAAAGAGTCAGAAAGCATTTGGAGATGCATTGGCATGGCAAGCAGAAGGTTTCGGTATGAATTTTATCAAACAACAGAGTATCAGCACATCTTTGAAAATATTCTATAATTACAAGTGTTAAAATCCCAAATTCTGACCTCTACTAACTATAAATCATAGGCGGTTATGTGTATGTATAATTGTGCCTTACATATCTTCTTTTTTTTCTGTTATCATATCGTAGGCAATGCCCTTGATGAAGATCCTTACCTTCAACATTATGAGCTCACTGATAATGGGAATAGAAGAAGGTGCAAAACGTGACATGCTCGTAGGGCTCTTCCAACAATTGATCAAGGGTTCTCTATCCGTACCAATCAATTTTCCCTTCACACGCTTCAGTCGTAGCCTGCAAGCGAGTAGAAAAATAAGGATGATCCTCGCGGATCTTATACGTGAAAGAAGGGCTGCGCAGAAGGAGCAAACTGCCTTTCCTCAACAAGATCTTATCACCACCTTGCTTAATCTCAGAAATGAGGACTCTTCAGCGGCTTTATCTGATGAGGAAATTGTAGATAATGCTATCACTATAATGATAGCAGGACATGACACGATCTCTGTCCTCCTCACCACATTGATTAGACACTTAGCAAATGATCAAGCTGTTTATGCTGGGATTGATCAAGGTATGCAACTAAATTAATTCAATTAATATTGAACAATATCACACGACTTCATAGAAAATTATCAAAATCTGAGACTGCAGAGCAAGAGGAGGTTGCCAAGAGTAAGGCCTATGGAGAGCTTTTAACATGGGATGATCTTGCAAGAATGAAATACACATGGAGGGTAGCATTGGAATGTCTAAGGATGTTCCCTCCTGTATTTAACTCCTTTAGGAAGGTCCTTGAAGATCTCGAATATAAAGGGTACCTTATTCCCAAAGGATATCAGGTATGATCCAATTTATGCTTGTTTCCCTTAACTGGAATGACATTATCACATGTTACTCCTATGCTAAGTTTCAACTTTTTAACTCAGGTAACCTGGGCAGCCTCCATGACACACATGGATGAGTCTCTCTTCCCAGATCCAACGAAGTTTGATCCAAACCATTTCGATACAAAAATCCCCCCATATAGTTTTGTGGCATTCGGGGGAGGAGCACGCATATGTCCTGGATATGAATTTGCAAGACTTGAAACTCTTATCACAATACATCACCTGGTGAACAGGTTCACATGGAAGCTCCGTTGCCCAGACATCTCTTTTTCCAGAGATCCAATGCCAACTTTCAAGGATGGACTAGAGATAGAAATTGTGCCAAAGCTCTCTCTCAAAGTCAACTGAATGCATAATCCAACAACTTGATCATCATGTAATTTACAGATTCTACTTCTGGATTCTTCATCCGGATATGCTATGTAACAAATAAATGAGTTCTTCAAGTTTCATTTAAACGGTTATGTTTGGAAATTACTCAGGTTCAGCCACCACCCCCTTCCTAGAAGGAAGGCAAGCATTTGCATCGGAATCATAACCGTAAGCCTTCACATTACCTGGCAAACTGGACATCGCATCTTCCTTGAGAGCAAATATATTTAGGAAAATTTTAACTCCATAGCTTTCAGGATTGGAGTGCCCAATTATGAAACATAGGTTGGCAATCATAATTTAATCTTGATTCGTTTGGACAAGTTTTTTGAGGAATATGTAAATCCTGCTCTCAGCATCATCAAAAAATTTGCTCGGACAAGCTATTTTTTAAGAATACATAGATTAGTGTGGATTGCTTTATAAAGTGTTTTTTAATCGAAAATATATTAAAATAATATTTTTTATTTTTTAAAAATTATTTTTGATATCACTACATCAAAAATGAAATAAAAAGACAAAAAAATATTAATTTGAAACAAAAAAAATATAAAAAAATTTTAATTTTTTTCTAAAACGTTTTTATAACGCAAAAACAAAAAGAACCCGTGGACTACCTGTAAATTGTGCAAGAAAAAAGATTTGACGAAAAAGTAATGCAAGAGAACCTCCAACTACACAGACTGATCACATAGCTTCCATAAACCAGATACTAACACAGAATCTTAATGAGTACACATATCCAGCACACCAATAAAAGAAAAAAGAAGAAGAAGCAAGAGGTTCTTCCTGAAATACAGCAGGACAAGATGAGATTGATAACCGATAATCGGTTATTTTATTCTGATAGCTATATATAGAAAGTAGAACATCATGGTGAAGACAACTCCTTCCAGCAATAAACTGACCAGACCAGAATCGATAGTGTGCTTGTTCAGTGATGCCAGCTACTCCTGTGAGGAGGTCAAGGCCAAGATGTCCGGATCTTGTTGGAAGTGAAGCATATCAATTTCCTTTAAGTTCATCCATGCCTCAATTCCATCTCCAGATTTGTTGTCCTTCAGAATACCAAATTCTAAAGTTAATTGCACTGCACTCATCCATGCAGGCTTTCCTCAGCCATAGTTAGCTTCATCCAAGCCCATCTTGCACCAGCTTGTGAACTTAAATGTATCTACTTCCCCCTTGTTCAATTCTTCATAGAACTCTCTTTAGGAATTAGTTACCATTGAAAACACATCATTACTGTTTACTGCATTTGTTCAATCTGAAATGGCTTTCCTCTTAGCATCCCTCAGCAGACTCACAATGACAGTTAACTCTAACTTATTGTTCTTATCATATGTATTGAATCTAGAAATGAAAGGCTTATACATGTTTCCACAAGCATTTTCAGGTAAAGGCATACTCACCTTTCCTCTTAAAGTCATTATCTGAAGAAGTGAAGATGCCCTCAGGTGTCCGCGCTGTGCTTTAGCCGAACCAATGAGAGCCTTCCATACAAGTGTTGTGACCACCTTCAAGCGCGACGGATGGTACTTGACCCCTGAATCGCTACCACCACAAATTTTAGATTTCAGATTGTCTATGGCTTCCTTGTTAATCACAAATACTTTTGTGACAATCTTCGAATGAACTTTTGGTGCTGGTGGAAGATTGAGACGTAAATCTCTTTGTGGGAAGAGAAATGAGCAATAAAATCTTGGACGAGGAACTTGATCACTAATCCCACCTTCTCGGAATGTTGTAGCCCATGCATTGATGAATGTCGAGATTGTAATTCTATCAGCTATCCTGTGCGAATTGCGCAAGCCAATCGCTAAACCTCCACGCTTAAACTTGTTAATTTGAATGGCTACAAAGGACTAGTGTCTGATTCAGTTACACAGGGAACACATGAGCCAGCAGCTCAAGATTACTATTGGGATCCTGTTGGACAATTTGTGTGAGGTCTACTCCATCAACTTTGGCCTCCAAGAGTTCCACCCCCACATCATTACAATCAACTGAGAGATTATCTTTGATATATCTTCCCGCTAGAGGGTTACTATTTCGAACAAGGATTTCTCTAGCCTGTAGATGTTTTTGATGATTTCATGGTGGTGGTTAGGGTAGTAGAAAATATTGGCTAAATACAGTGATGGAGCAAGCTGATCGAGAAATGATATGTTCAGATTCTGAAGGTGAGGAGGAGTTTGAACTGATGGTTTTATTAGCTTTCCAGATAGGAGCTGAACCTCCACTGTTAACTTGGTTTCGTCTAGAGCAGTGCCTTTTCCCCTTTTTATAGCTACTGATCTGGAAGGATATGCAGGTGTGTTTTCTGAATCATGGAAACTGGGTAAGAACTTGAAAGTTTGATCAAGAGATCAACCTAATCTCTTAGACTATTTCTTCAATGTTTCCATGTCATTAAAAGTCTCATTTTTTCTTTGGACAGGCACCCAACTATCCCATTTCCTAGCTAGAATTTCTTTTGCTCGTGAAAAAAGTGAAGCAAAATCATGTTGCAGATTTATTGGCTAATCAAGCAAGCTTTGAGAATAATTATCGAATGTATTTTGTTGTTAAGCCTATCTTCCTTGTCCACCATAAGCTTATTGAAAGTTTCTTGGTCTTCTCTCATTAATTTAATGGCTGATTTCGACATGCTAATCTTTTGTTCCAACCTCGAATATCCAAAACAAAACAAAAAACAATCAGCTTCAGATCCATGCAGATCAAGATCTGAAAATATTGATAGAACAAAATAAAATGAGATCGAAGAGAAGAGGAGGATGAGATTGAAAATAATAAAAAAAAACAAACATAAAGCAAGGGAATTTAGGAGCTAAAGAGCTGGTGAGAAAGTCACCCACGGTGTAGTTTCCCTCTTGTTTTCCCTTCGGAGATATGAATGAGAGAAAAGGGTCGAGTCCTTTTTCTTTTTTTTTTCCTCTTACGGTTTTGGGTTATCAGACTTCACACAATTTCATAGGTTACATTCCCTGATACAGTTTAACATGGAAGCTCTGTCCAACTTTAACATGGAAGCTTTGTGGCTGAGCTTTTTATTTTTTAGAATGTGTTTGGCATTTTAGTATCTGTTGCTCTTAAAATTTGAAAAAAAAAAACTACAAATTTATAATATATTTTAATTAACCAAACATTTTCAAATATATAGTTTTTACAAAACGCAAACAACATATATCAATGAGAAAATATGACGAAGAGGTTTTCAACAGTGGATGCAGATCTGTTCTAATTGGATCATGGAGTTTTAATTGGATCATGTGAAAAAGGCATAAAGGCATATTTATAGATTAGGAGACCAGATCTAAATCTAAGAAGAGTTCTAGCCATGTCAAACAACTTGTTTGATTAAAAAGCTCTTAACTTCAGATCTAACAATTGATTGAATCACACTCAAATATTGCCAGTAGATTCTGTAGGTTCTTCTATGATAAAGGTGATTACTTGGTTGATTATTTTCCTATTTACTAGGTTGAGCCTTAGCAAGTTCTTGTTGTTAACACTTGAACAGGAATTAACCTAACAGCCCATGAGAAATGTCATTTCCCTCCTATGGACATAAACAACTTGTGGGCGACCTCCCGGATATCTCCACCGGTAGGTTATCCAGCTGATCTCAGGGAGTCAGTTTAATCACCGAGGTATTGACACAAAACACAATGTGATAAACATCAGGCTCACAGCACAACTAAATGAATTCAAAGACCTTTAATTCTAACATCAGCATTTAGTATTACTCTATCCAAAAATATGTCCTTCCGTTGCTTAGAACTAGATCATCATGGAGATTCAAAAGCAAGCACGAAGCCATGATAAGCTAAAGAAGTCACCAGGTGTCCTAGTATGCGATAGCCTTTGAAAGAAAATGTCATCTTCCCGTGCATTTATTATTCGTTTATTTGGAAGAAAAGATCTCTTCCTCCTTGGCAGCCAAAAATGCTTCTAAGGATGGCCAGGTGTGATAACCCAACACACGACCCGCAACGTGTCATTCAAATCACTACTCTATGAGCTATAACTCCTGATGACGGGATTAGAGGTTTACTGTTAATGCTCCAAGCACGGGGATGCGCCAACAAAAGCACATTGCCTAGAATTTGGCAGCGATGGACAGCAGTAGCCTTGTATAGGCAAAAACGACTTCAGCAGGCAGCGTGCAATGATCTATGCAAGTCGTTGAGCTTGCGACTTGGCATGAACGTAGGGGCTTAGGTGATGAACCTTCTAAGTCAGCAGCTGACGCAGCAGAATAGGCAATTGGGACTACCATGTGGATAGACAGAATATGGCTGTATCATGGGGGCAAAATGTGGGAAGTGGCAGCATAATGGGGGAGAAAGTGCTCCACTATGCCCTGGAAATTAGGGATCATGGGTAAGTCATTAAGTTCATGGGGGAATAAGTGCTCCACTATGCCCCGAAAATGAGGGATCATGGGGAGTAAGTGCCCCACTCTGCCCTGAAAAATAGGGATCATGGGTGAGCCTAGCAGCTCATATTTATTTATAAATAGGCTGTCAAGCCTCTGCTGTGTAGCATGAGATTTTGTGTATAGCACACACACTCTTATTGTGTAATCCTTTGTTGATGAGATAAATAAAGGTTGAGAGATATTCTTGTAAACTTCGGTGTGCTTGCTTGTGTTTGTTCTTTGTTTACGACTTGGCAATTGTGGGAATCTCTTTAGGTGAGCGAAATACATAGTCGTAGGAAACACAAGCGAAAAGGGAAGGCCGAGTCTAGTTGGGACTAGACTGACGCATTGGGTTGAATTTCGTTGCGAAAAATTTAACCTCGTGACAATTGGTATCAGAGCTCGATTTGATTCTAAAAACATGCAGCTTAAGTCATGAAAGCTATTCGGGAACGGTTGATGCGTCTTGAGACCTTGATAGGGTCAAATGAGGAAGGCGAAGAACGTTCCATTATTGATCGCTTGAAGGATGCTATGGAATGCGCTGAGAGCTTGTACATATCTCTTACGGCAGAATCAACTGAAAGATTGGAGGTTGTCGAAGAGACGATTGCTATTCTAAAAAGGACAGTGACAAACACTCATATTGGGGTAAGTACATCTAAGCCTAAGTTGCCTGAACCGAAGTGTTTCGATGGGACAAGAAGTTTCAAAGAACTTGAGAATTTCTTGTTGGACATGGAGCAATACTTTAGTGTTGCAAAGATCGGCGTGGCTGAACAAATGGATCTTATCATGATGTATCTCACGGGTGATGCAAAAGTTTGGTGGCGGACGAGAACTAAAGATGACTTGATTGCTGGATGTCCAAAGATTGAGACATGGGATCGTCTCAAGTATGAGCTGTTCCTTCCGAACAACGCATCTTGGATGGCGCGGGAGGAATTGAAAAGGCTCAAACATGAAAGGTCAGTTCGTGAGTATGTTAAATCTTTCAGTTCTTTGATTCTCGAGATCGAGAATATGTCCGAGGAGGACAAATTGTTCAACTTCATGTCTGGATTGCAAACTTGGACGCAAGCGGAACTAAGACGACAGAACGTAAAGGATTTGTTCTCCGTTATTGCTGCTACGGACAGTTTGGTTGATTTCAAATCAACTATTAGAGAGGGTTATACATCAATCTCCTTCAAGTCTAAGGAAAGAAACAAGGAGGATAAGATGATGAAGAAATTTGGTGGGGGTGCATTGAAGGCTGCTGTCGCGGATAAGGGCAAGACTAAGTTTATGGGTGCACAAGGTAAGAATCCAAAATCGAACTTTACTTGCTTCATCTGTGATGATCCTCACTTTACGAGGGAATGTCCAAAGAGGGAGAAGTTGAATGCTATCCGGGCTGGGGGTAGCGATGAGGATGAGGGGATAGTTGCACACGTCAATCCTATGCGTGTGATAAACTGCTTGGTAGCTGAATCAGGGGATACAGCTGCCGAAACCCGCCTTGTTGATCAAGACTTGGTGAGGATTGATGCATTGCTAAAGGGGAAGTCAGGGGCTACGGACAATCTGATGTATGTGAAGATTGGGATAAATGGCAAAAACATGAATGTTATGCTAGATTCAGGTGCAACCCACACGTTTGTGGCAGATCGGCTGGTGAAGGAACTTGGCTTGCGGCTGAGTGATAGCCATACATCTATGAAGGCAGTAAACTCGAAGGCACAGAGAATTACTGGGATGTCTTATGATGTGCTGATAATGCTGGATCAGTGGAGAGGTAAGCAGAATGTGTTGGTCGTAAATCTTGATGATTACAATATTATTCTTGGTCTTGATTTCTTACAAAAAGCCAAGATTGTTTTGATGTCATATCTCAATAGGGTCATGATTGCGAGTGAGGAGTGCCCATATTTCGTCCCATGTTGCAATATCACGTTGCAAAAGTAGTGAAAGGGGGAAAAAGCTTGGTCTTAACAATTGCTATTGACAAAGCATTGCGGAAAGGAGAAGTGTTTCTTGCGACAATAATTAATGAGAATGCAGACTATTGTGGAGAGGTGCCAAATGAAATTGCTAACATGCTGCAGCAATTTAAGGATGTGATGCCGCCTCAACTACCGAGGAAACTCCCACCTAGGAGGACCATCGACCATCGAATTGAGCTAGTGTCAGGGACAAAGCCACCATCTCAAGCCCCTTACCGAATGTCACCAATGGAATTGGCAAAATTGAGGAAACAATTGGAAGAGCTGATTGAGGAAACAATTTTTTCCTCAATTTTGCCAATTCCATTGGCGACATTCGGTAAAGGGCTTGAGATGGTAGCTTTGTCCTTGGCACCAACTTAATTCGATGGTCGATGGTCCTTCTAGGTGGGAGTTTCTTCGATAGTTGAGGCAGCATCACATCCTCGAATTGCTACAGTATGCTAGCAATTTCATTTGGCATCTCTCCACAATAGTTTGCCTTCTCATCAACTATTGTCACGAGAAACACTTCCCCTCCTTTTCGTAATGCTTTGTCAATAGCAATTGTCAAGACCAAGCTTTTCCCCCCTTTCACTACTTTCGCAGTTGCGATATTGCAACACGGGACGAAACATGGGCACCCCTCACTCGCAATCATGACCTCATAGAGATACAACATCAAAATTATCTTGGCTTTTTGTAAGAAATCAAGACTAAGAATAATATTGTAATCATCAAGATTTACGACCAACACATCCTATTTACCTCTTCACTAATCCAGCATTATCGGCACATCATAAGACATCCTAGCAATTCTCTGTGTCTTCGAGTTTACTGCCTTCATAGATGTATGGTCATCACTCAGCCACAAGCCAAGTTCCTTCACTAGCCGATCTGCCACAAACATGTGGGTTGCACCTGAATCCAGCATAGCATTCATGTTTTTGCCATTTATCTCAATCTTCACATGCATCAGATTGTCCGTAGCCCCTGACTTCCCCTTTCGCAGTGCATCAATCCTCGCCAAGTCTTGATCAACAGGGCGGGTTTCGGCAGCCGTATCCCTTGATTCAGCTACCAAGCAGTTTATCACACGCATAGGATTGACGTGCGCAACTACCCCCTCATCCTCATCACTACCCCCAGCCCGGATAGCATTCAACTTCTCACTCTTCGGGCATTCCCTTGTAAAGTGAGGATCATCACAGATGAAGCAAGTAAAGTTCGGTTTTGGACTCTTACCTTGTGCACCCATAAACTTGGCCTTGCCCTTCTCTGTGGCAGTAGCCTTCGATGCACCCCCACCGAATTTCTTCTTCATCTTATCCTCCTTGTTCCTTCCCTTA